TCAAAAGTCATTATCCCTCCAGAAATGCGCCTGAGCTTTATTTGCGGCATGACTTAATTATTTGACAATTATTTACTGTAGTGAAATATAGCTGCCCAGTGGGAAACCTGTAAAATATGCCTCAGATAGCTACAAATGTGGGTTTTCTTGGTTTGGGTGCCATATCTATTGTGTATACTTCACCTTAGCTGAGAAATACTCAAACTTGAGTTTCCCTTCATGAGCCAAATATTGATATCAATATTTCTTGCACAAGAGAATTCCCTGTAGGTTGTAAGGTGTACGTAATTGGGCCTTTCATTGAGATGCAGTATTTTTCAACTTGCTTGTATCATAAGAGGATATAATCACGTAGCTCTGCTCCCTTATGCATTGGGCAATACATCAGCATGCAAGTTTGGCTGGTGACTACAATAGTCAAGAAAATAGAGGCAGAGGGATCAGAATTCTGGTGGGAATTTCAATGCGATTATCACAGCTGAAAAGGTTTTGTTTTGGTTTTTGGTTTTTTTGTTTTGGTTTTTGGTTTAGTTTAGACTTCAATAAAGAGAAATAAAAGGTACTCTTATTGGACCTAATACAAGAAGGCAGAAAACTTGAACTACTTCCAAGACTCCCCCAAAACTCTCTTCCTGACCAAGGCTTCTGGGAAAACTTATAATGAAGGTGATATTGTGCATTGTAACATTTTTGTTCTGCTTCCTTTTAGGGTTTATATTTTACCTTACCACATGTGTGTTCTCAGAATCCCCTGTCTACTCCATGGGACATGTAGTGAGAAACCCCATTGTTTGAGACTTTAAATGTGGATTGGACAAAATATGGAAAAGTACAATCAGGAATGAATCCTAGCCTTAACAGTTTGGTCTTTATTGTTTATGAATTGTATAGTTTGAAAAGTGCTTTGAGATCCCTGAGGATGGAAGACTGGCTCTATAAAAATACGTCATTATTTTTTGTCTCGTATTCACCAGCTACTACAAAATTTATATATGTGGTAACAAATACATGGAGATGAGCATGGTCATCCTACATAACTTTAAAACTTTTAGACTACTCAAAATGAAATTTTCCAGTGTAGCTTCAACTTCTCAATGTAAACTGCAGTTCCCAGAAAGCCTGTGTGTGATAAAGGGATTTTTTTAAACCAAGAAAATCTCTTCTCAGATGGGGTATGGATGTCTTATCAGTATAATCTTAAAAATAAATTGCACTCAAGTCTGGCTCCACATTCCCAGTTCAGAGCTGTTGAGACATATCTCCACTTCTTCAATGTCTGAATAGTTATCAAGCTACAAATGGTTTAGGACTAGTTTTCCACAATAAGAAATGAATTGGACTTCTCCACACAGACTATAGGGGTACGTTTACAGAAACATTGCCTCCCCTTCTGTGGGTGCAGTTTGCACTTGCATTTTGGAACCAGTCTGAACAGTTGCACCTAAACTGCAAATATATCACAAAATCCTGCAGTTAGTAATGTGTTTTCAGTATGACTGAAATGAATGGAAGCTAGGAGTCCTCCTATCCTGAATTCATTTACTCCTTCATATAGCATTTTCTTTCCTTCACTCTGCCACCCTGCAATAAAGGATTTCTGCATTGCTCTTTCTAATGGCTCAGTAGTTTAGGAAGCAGGTATTTAATGATCTGTCTTACATAGCCTCCTTGGTTTAAATCCCAGCATTAGGCAGATCAGCTCTGCTTAACAAAGGGGAAGACAGACTCTTAAAGGAACAGATTCAAAGTTATTGAGGAACATTAAATACCGGCACCTACAAGATACAGGGGGGAAAACCTCCGCATGTATAAAATGTATGAATAATAGTTCGAGTCATTAGAGGAAATGAAGTAGAAACTGCTCAGTGTATTGTTGGGGTAGGAAAATCACACTGTGCTGGGGGAAGCCTGGGTTATGTTTTTTTAAAAAAAAAAAAACAATAAGGCATGTTTTCAAAGACTATTCTTTACCATCTCTTGGAATAGAATTATACAAGCAGTACACGAGAACCTACCAGATCCCCAAACGTTTAAAATGGTACTTTTCTTTGCTCCCTTATGGGGCAAATTTGTGGTGAATAGGGTATATTCAATAGTACGTTGATTAAACCATAATCGGGTATCTCTTCTGAATTCTCTCCCTGATCCCAGCTGCCTTTTCAAGATAGGGCATGACCCAAGAGAAGAAGTGCCTTTCAAAAATAGGCACTAAGAAGTGCAGTAAAAGTGACAGTAATTCCTTCTGCTTTTATAAGCAGATCATGATAATAAATCTCTTGGTGTACCTTATAAATTTCCCATCCACAGTAGTGGGAAAATGGCTGCCTTCTTGCCTTGGTAATCCAGGAGATAAACTGCAGTATATCTAAAACAGGTTGGTATGGTATTTACTACTTGTACATTAGTATTGTTGTTGGTTCCCTTGCTCAAATGTTTTGTGTTGCAATTCATTAATGTTTGTGAGAGGCATTACCTTTGGATTGAGCTATAACATAGGAATTTCTCAGTGGAAGGGTTTTCTTCAATGTTAATTTTATAATTGTAATCTTGGCTATACCTTGAAACCTTACACAGAACACTGTTGAAGACACAGATCATATTAGGGTCCAGGAGACACACTAGGTTGATACAGATCTTTTACTTTTGGAGACCTAGGTTTCAAATCTGATAGATTGCATGTGACTGAATGTGGTGTGTTCATCCTGTTCCTTCAGATTCATGAATGGCACTGAGCTGCTGGAAATGAAAAACTGAACATAAAACTTCAGTTTTCTCTAGAATAGATGATTCACTCTTCCGCCACTGTAAAATACCAGTTCTAAAAATCCTTGATCCAGTCTCCCTATAGCAACAATTGCTAAAAGAAATGGAATGGAGAGTTTCCTCTGATTTCAGTCTGGGTGTGTTGTCCATTGTGTCTAATCATTAATTTAAAATGTAATCATTTGACAGATTTCATTTGCCCATATGTTGTGTACTTAAAAAAAAGTTTAAAGAACTTGTTTAAGTTGCAAGCATTTTTGAATGCCATGATTCATGCTGCTGTGGAAAGTATTAGTGTTTCCATAATCAAACACCATTTTCAGGTTTTATATCATGGGCTGCCCTAAAAGAGAGGAAAATTTTGCCTTTGATTACTAAATAATTTTAATTTTAATGTCTTCGTTTTTCCATACAGAAAGTATAGGCAAGTCTAGATTATTTTGCAAATACTCAGATAAGACTGTTTAGGCCCCAGTCTTGCAAACACTGCTGCACATGCTTAACTTTACTCTTGCCATCAATTCTAGTGATGTCACCTGGGTACAGCTGAGCATGTTTATAAGTGTTTTCAGGATCAGGATCTTAGTTCTCGAAGGCAAAGTTGCTAAGTTTTTAGGGGTGACTGCTGTATTAAGCTGCCCATAAAAATGTAAATTGGGCTTAATGTTATCATAGAGATTGTTGGAAGGAATTTTTTGAGAAATTGAGGAAAAAATTAGTGTTTTTATGAGTGAAAACAAAAAATGGAATTTATTGGTTTTTAATGCTGTTTTTGGTGTACGCTTTACATTGCATAATTTTATACCTAAAATTTTAGAGGGATACTGTAAGGCTGTTCATACAGTAAGTTTGATGAAAGCCTATATTAATAGCAGTGTTTGTAATTTTAATGAAATTGAAAATCACTTTGGATTTAAATGGCTTCTTTCCCTTGCTCACTGTAGCATTGAACTAGTGCATGAGAACTAGGGTGTGGTAGCGATAAGCCTACTTTTATTGTCCAAGATGAAAGAAATACCAAGAAGTCAATACCTTGGAATGCCTGGCAAAGTCTGGAATACCAGAGCAACTTGGAGGCAATTAAACTCTTTATACAAAGACGTCTTTGCAGATTCTGGCCCTGTTAGTGGTAGGAAAGCAAATCTGATTTTCCAAATTCTTTCAATATGAATAGTCTAACGTATTAGTAATAGGTCAAGAAATTTGGTTTATTTTTAAATATGACTTTTAACTTGACGGTTCCTGTAGACTGAAAAACGGGCTATTCATTTTTATTTTCAGATACCTTGGGGGAAACAAATTACAGCTGTCCGTGGTGGTGCATTTAAAAATGTGGCGTATGGCATGCTTTCACACGGGTGACTTGTTTTTGAGGGGGCAGTGGAAACTTCATAATTTAAATACAGTGGCTTAGTGTAATACTGTAATGCAGATTTTGAGTTCATAGACACTCCTTGAAAACATGCAACTTAAACCCTCCCCTCCCACTGCAAGGAGCCAGTATAGTTCAGTCATATCTAAACTGAGTTTTGTAAAATGTGGATGTACCCAATAAACTATAACAGCTTTATGGCAAATGGGGCAAACTCTTCAAAGTATTGCTAATTATGAATTTACATAAGACTACCACTAAATCTACAATTACTTTTGACTATGGATTCCCAAATTTTTGTCCCGCTAAGAGCCACATTAGCAACTTACCATGAATTGGAGGGCTGTATGTGAGGCGTAAACAGATTTGAGCCGTACTGTCTGAGTGATGCCTTGTTTAATACGGTGGTAAAATTCGAACAGTTAATGGTTTGACCAGATAAGCCTTTCCCATTAACTGCTGATAATATTAAATGTGGTCTTGCACCAAGATGTGCTACAAGCAGCCAGAGACTCTTTTGATCAAGGTAAAGAAATGCACCTTAGCACAAGCGTCCCATGGAGAATACATCTACTTACTAATTTAAATATAGCCATGGACTACTTTTGACCTGGTAGGCTGCCCATTGAGCACCAGGGCTTTGTGCACCATATTCTTCTGCTCTGTTTAAATTAGAGATGAACAAGGCTAAAAGCATTTTAATTTGAATTCCACCCTAACCTTTAGCAGTCGACATGGACTCAAACTGAGATGCAAGTCCTGCCAGTTTGGTTTTCTCGGCCCATATCTAATTTAAACTGGTCGTGATCTTGTTTTGTGACATTTGAATCTGAAACACTATTTTCATCCCCCATTGTATTTTTGTTCTACTTTCTTTCTTACAAATCGAAAGTTATTCCAACATGCTTATTCTTTGTTTCCCAGTTCGGAGTCTGTTTTGTGAAACATTGCTGCTGTGAATGATCCATTCAGAGAAACAAGGAGAATCTCCTAGAAGGAAGGAGAAGATGGAGATGCTTGCAGTACATGGCCAGGAAACCGGTACAGCACATAACTCTTGTGTTTCTTTTTCAAACCAAGAAAGAACATGCAGATTTTCTTATCAAGTCAGCAGATATTTTACAATATTACTGATAGTATACATCACAAGACTAAATTCCAAGCAAGAACAGGATTTTTGATTCTTTATATAGTACCAGACAGGTGTGAGTCAGGCTTTACAGGCACAATTGAGGTAAGGGCTTAAATTTTTATAAGTGAGTAGTGAATTTGGGAAGCCTGCTTTTAAATGCCTTAAAAGAGTCTGATTTTTTTTTCAGAAAGCGCTGAGCACCTTCCCTCCAAATCAGGCACCTGTTTAAAATTTCTCAAATTGAGCATCCAAAATCACTAGTGTTTCCCAATAATGTAGGTCAAAGTCCGTACCTCAAAAAGCTGACACTCTCTAAGGCACTGATTTGGCAAACAAGCACCTGAATAATTTTATTTTGAAGTCAGTTAATTTAAAGCTAAGCACAGGCATAAGGCTCAAGGCCTAAAGTGATAGCAAAACCAAAATGAACTGTCAATAAATGTAGAGAGGCTGTGGACAGGAGGGCAGGAAACAAAAGAAGAGATGTAGTCTTTTTCTGGCGTAACTATCTGCAGTGGCCCAAGCTGACTGTATTGTAGCTAGGTTGTTTTTTTTTTTAATATAAATTTTATGTGAGGGAATGATCAGTCGGGTGGAAGAATTGAGGTTTTATGAGACATTTGAATGAGAAGAAACTTGTTTGGTGCACTAGATCAGGGAGATATTTGCAAGCATAAAGGCAGCACAGAAAAAAGCACAAAAAGGGTGTAGTGTAGAGAGAGTGCAAGAGAGAGCGAGCATGGAGCACGGGGCCTGGTGCAAGACTTGAGGCCTGAACCACAGTCACCAAATCCAGGCTAAGCTGTGAACCAAAGTCAGGCCATGTATTAAAAGCAGGTGCTTACACGTTCGCAGTCTGATACATAAACTTGGCAAGGGTACTGCTAGCGTTGCTAAAACACAGGCACTCCTAAGAAGTACCTGGCACTGGGTATGTACGTGAACACCTTCCAAAAGATGAGCCCAGGTACACCCTCACCTAGCGCAAAATAAGAGGGTTTGACAGAAGTGATGAAGAGGGATGTTTTGCCCGAGACATCAGGAGCAAAGTACAAGGGGAGGTAACAAGCAGATGTCATGAAACCCATAAGGTAGTAAGTAAGTTTTTGTCTCAGTCGATAAATGTTGGGGTACCTCACCTTAATTCTTTGTGCAGCCGAGGTGACAGAAGAGACTCCCACAGATGACTGAGCCACTCCTTACCACTCCTAACCATGTGTTAGTGTACCTGTAACCACAGAGACAGGGAGCCGGTATGTGTCTTGAGCGCAATAAACTTGGCCAAGTGCCTTTGTCACCGAACTGAGCTTGTGGTCTTTCTTACGTGTAACATCAAGGTCTGCTAAGTTAGCAGGCTGCACTCTCTTCCAATGCTGATAACACCGGAGCTCCAAGAAGAGAAGCTGTCATAAATGTAAAGGGAAGGGTAAACACCTTTAAAATCCCTCCTGGCCAGAGGAAAAACCCTTTCACCTGTAAAGGGTTAAGAAGCTAGGATAACCTCGCTGGCACCTGACCAAAATGACCAATGAGGAGACAAGATGCTTTCAAAGCTGGAGGGGGGAGAAACAAAGGTTCTCTCTGTCTGGGTGATGCTTTTGCCGAGAACAGAAAAGGAAAGGAGTCTTAGAACTTAGTAAGTAATCTAGCTAGATAGGTGTTAGATTCTGTTTTGTTTAAATGGCTGATAAAATAAGCTGTGGTGAATGGAATGTATATTCCTATTTTTGTGTCTTTTTGTAACTTAAAGTTTTGCCTAGAGGGATTCTCTATGTTTTGAATCTGTTTACCCTGTAAGGTATTTACCATCCTGATTTTACAGAGGTGATTCTTTTACTTTTTCTTCAATTAAAATTCTTCTTTTAAGAACCTGATTGCTTTTTCATTGTTCTTAAGATCCAAGGGTTTGGATCTGTGTTCACCAATGCAAATTGGTGAGGATTTTCCCCAGGAAAGGGGGTGTAGGGTTTGGGAGGATTTTGGGGGGAAAGACGTTTTCAAGCGGGCTCTTTCCCTGTTATATATTTGTTAGATGCTTGGTGGTGGCAGCAATAAAGTCCAAGGGCAAAAGGTAAAATAGTTTGTACCTTGGGGAAGTTTTAACCTAAGCTGGTAAAAATAAGCTTAGGGGGTTTTCATCTAGGTCCCCATATCTGTACCCTAGAGTTCAGAGTGGGGAAGGAACCTTGACAGAAGCACTGAGCATCTGTAACAGCTTAGTAGCCTGGACAGTGTTACTGTGGCAATGACATTCCAGCCTTCAGCGCTTAACAACAAAGGGGAGTGAAAGAAGGAAATGAAGAGAATATGTTGTCCCTTGACTGGTTTTACTAGTGAGATGCTTGACTTGAGGCAGGACGGAGAAGCATAGTCACCCTGTGGAAGCACAAAAAAGGAAGAGAGGAAATAATAGAAAGTGTTGAAAATCGGAGTGTATTTGGGGGTGAGGGAGCAGATCAGTTTTATTTGGCCTGTGTCAGAAAATCATCTAGGAGCAGATTTACAAAGGTATTTAGGCACTTGAAGATGCAGCTAGGTGCCTAGTGGGATTTACAAAGTGCCTCCGTGAATTAGATGCATAGGTCCTATTGACTTTCAATGGGAGTTAGCCACATATCCTCAGACTTTCATATGTTAATATTTTCAGTTTTCTCATATTTCCTGGGCAGAGCATAGGACTTTAGAAATGATCCAATACTGCTGGAAAAATCTAGTTTCCTGTTGCATATAGGCCTGATTTTGAATAATGGTCATAAACTGATAAGGGCCAAAAGTCTTATGCCTCCTTCAGATTCTAAATAGGTCTAGATTTCCATTGTGTCTGCACACTATTCCTGTTCTCTTTATGTAGGGGAAATGGTGGTGTTTCTGATAAGACTGACTCTTTCCCCATTCCCAGCAGGTAATGTACAGGATGGCTGATAGTGGTACAGATTTATTAACTGAACTATCAGATCAGACTGGAATGTGCATCATTATTATATATTCGATAGCCCTTGAGATGTGGTTGGCACTTTCCGCTGTCGAGAAGAGATACAAGCCCTGCCCCCAAAAGAGTTTACAATCTAAAAGAAATCCCTAAAACATGGGCAAGGTAGAGTTACTACAGTACATGGTTGGAATAAATGTCAACTTGGATTCAAACTTAGTAGGTGTGGGATGCCTATGGGGAATATGTTTCTCTGATCAGTGGACAATTGCTTGCCCTGCACAAATACAGCTGATAAGAAGGTATGTACCATAGAGCTGAGGACAGGGAACCTTTTCTTAAGGAATTACCAGTTGGGTATCTGGGACACATTATAAGGGAATGTAAATTCAAATGAATTACCTTCTCAGAGGTCTGGGCCAATACTTGGCTTTTTTGTTCAGCTGTTGGTGCTGAAATGCACTGCACTTCCTTGTTTCTTGGGCTCACGTTTATCTCATGTTCTGACTCTAGTATTACAAGAATTGAGTCTCTTCTGTAAAAGAGATGTCAATGGAGTTGGAGTGTTATACGACCTGCTCAGATCTCCCTGGCTGCAAGCTCTCCTAAAGGTAAAGTCCTCTTTGTCTGCAAGGCCAGTCTTCCTTAGAGAAGAAGGGGAGGGATAGCTCAGTGGTTTGAGCATTGGCCTGCTAAACCCAGGGTTGTGAGTTCAATCTTTGAGGGGGCCATTTAGGGATTTTGGGCAAAAATTGGGGATTGGTCCTGTTTTGAGCAGGGGGTTGGACTAGATGACCTCCTTGAGGTCCCTTCCAATCCTAATATTCTATGATTCTATGAACAATATGTCCAACTGGCATCTGCCTCAATTTGCCATGCGGAGATTGTAGGTTAATTCAGATACTTCTAATTAAGGTGGAAAATCCCAGTGTACCTGGCTAATTGGGTAATACCATGCAATCACAGGGAGATTTAAGATTGGCTGCAGGTGGTGATCTGTACCCCAGTTGTAAAATGGGGGTGATGTCCTGTTTTGTACAAATGAATGAATGAAAAGTGCTATATGAGGGTGAAATATTATTTATTATTGATTGCATTGGTGTGATGTATAATCAAGGGCTGTACTTTAGCATCAGACTAAACTGGGAAGGAAATTTTTCCTGTTAGACAAAATAGTTCAAAAAACTAAGTTAAACATTTTAGCAGGAAAGTAACTTAAGGTCTGTAAACAGGTCCAATGTTAATAAAACAAAAATAAAAAAAACCTTCCAGGTCACTGGTCACCAACCTAGAGGATTTCCCAGTCGATTGCGATCTCTGGCAGCACAGCGTGGCTGCCACTAAGGCAGACTCCCTACCCAACGCCGCTCCCAGAAGCAGCTGGCGTGGCCCCACGGGTGCAGGAGAGCAGGGGTCTTCTTCTGTGCACTGCTCCTGCCTGCAAGCACCACCACCGCAGCTTCCATTGGCTGGGAGAGCTGCTTGCAGAGAGGTGCAGCACACGGAGCCACGTGTCTTCCCCCCTCAACCCCCCCGGGGCATGTTGGCCCCTTCTGGGAGCAGTGTGGAGCCAGGGTAGGCAGGGAGCCTGCCTCAGTCTTGCTGCACCCGCCACCGTAAGTGCTGCACTGCTGGATGTAAGTGCTGCCCGGCGGAAGGCTGCACCCCAGCCCTGAGCCCCCTCCTGGAGCCAGCACCCTGTACCCCCTCCTGCACCCCAATACTCTGCCCCAGCTCAGAGCCCCCTCCTGCACCCAAACACCCTCCCAGAGCCAGCACCCTGTACCCTCAACACTCTGCCCCAGGCTGGAGCCCCTTCCTGCACTCAAACTCCCTTCTAGAGCTTGCACCCCTCACCCCCTCCTGCACCCCAACCCCCTGCCCCAGGCTCAGTCCAGAGCCCCCTCCCACACTGTGAACCCCCACCCTAGAGCCCACACCCCCTCCCAAACCCCTACCCCAGCCCGGTAAAAGTGAGTGAGGGTGGAGGGGGGGGGAGGGGATGGAGTGAGTGGGGCAGGGCTTTGGGGAAGGGGCGGGGCAGATCCTGGGTTGCCCTTAGATTCAAAAAGTGATCTTGGGCGTAAAAAGTTTAGAGACCACTGGTCTAGGTGAATAAAAATTTCCTTGAAATCAGTCTTTAAATTTGGTGATTTACTTTAGCTTTGCTTTTTGAGTAAGGATTATAGTTAGGGGAAGAAAGGAAACAGTGGAATCTTTGAGGATTTGCCATACTGGATTGGAACACTGGTCCAGTGAGCCTGTTATCTTCCTTTGACAGCCAGATACTTCAGATTAAGGTGGAAAACCCCAGTGTACCTGGCTAATTGGGTAATACTATACAATGTCAGAGATTTAAGATTGGCCTCAGCTGGCAATCTGTAGTTAGGTCCTGAATCAGAAGGATTGATAGCCTTAATCATAAAGGCCAAGATTTTGTCATGGATATTTTCAGTAAAAGTCATGGACAGGTCATGGGCAAAAAAGAAAAATTCACGGACGCCGTGACTTTTACTAAAAATATACCTGACAAAAGGGGATCTGCTAGTCCCCACACAACTGTGTAGGGGCTAGGAGCCATCCGCAGCACGGGCGGCTCAGGGATTCCCCCGCCGGCAGCTGTGGGCTCGGGGAGCTGCCAGAGGTGCTGGGGGTACCCTGCAGCTCCCTGCCCTCGCTGGTGGCGAGGGACCCTGCAGCTCCTGATCACCGCAGGCTGAAGTCATGGAGGTTGCTGGAAGTCATGGATTCCGTGACTAGCTCATAGCCTTATTTATGATTTTTATTCTAGCTAGTCCTAGAAAATCCTTAGTGGTGTGGCACTGCTGTATATGTGTATGTTTCCATGTGAATGGATCGCCCCATTGAGTAGTATTGCATTGTGCCTTTTTCTTTATTATTTCACCCTATAGGTTTATGAATGCCTCCATCAATCTATCAGAAAAAAACCAGTCCCGGTCACACCCCAAGCACGTGCACTGTCTCGTGAGGTGAGATTATATAAGAGACTATATTCCTTTTTTTACCGAACCCTAATCTGTTAATTTGATTGCACATAATAATACTCTGCATATCTGTGGCGCAGTCTGTCCAAGGATCTGAGTGCACATCACAGGCATTAATGAATGTAGCCTCGCTCCCTTGTGAGACAAGTAGTTAATCATCTCCATTGTACAGATAGGGGATCAAAGGCACATAGAAGGTGTGGAATTCCCAGAATCCCATGGGCTGTGGCAGAGCGATTACGAGTCCTGTGCGTTAACTGCTAGATCGTCCCTCTTCCCCAATTCAAAATCTGCCTTGTCATAAGAACTGACCATAAAGGAGCCTGGCTCAGATCTGTGAATTTTATAAGGTTTCTGATAGGATGATTTTAATCCGTTCATGACCGAATTAGCTGGAAGCTTAATGGTTCATGCTAGAAACTTATACTGGTCATTAAATCTAGTTGTAGGACTGGAGAAGAGAATTCACTTAGTCTCTTAGCATGGAGTTAAAGAAAAGGTCTGTTTACATTACCAAATTAAGTTCACCAAATAGTTTACTACAGTATTTAAAATAGGAATTCCAGATGGATCCAGTTCCCACTCTCTCATCACCAGGTGGTGGAGTTGTTACGTGGAGTCCCTCAATCTACAGAGATCAGAGAGCTGAGACGACTTCTGCGAAATCCAAACTTGAAGGCAAGTGCTGGCCGTTGAAAGGGGAGTGGAAACATCTCTCACTGAAACGACTGCAGTATGGGGGGAATGAGCTTTGCAGCTGCCTGCAGAAGACAGCAAAGAAGGCAATAGAAATTTGGATTAGTTATGGCAAGAAGAAATTAGTGGACAATGGTATCTGTGAATTTGCAACTGTGGGATTCTTTTCCCTACCTCTGAAGTCTGTGTCTCATCCCCTACCTTATGAAAGAATTAAATATCTACAGTACTCACAACAGACTGATGGTAACTGCTGTCTTTAATATCTATGCTTTTGAGAGATCGGTTTAAAAAAAGATTCTTAGAGACACGGGGCAGGATTTTTACATGAACAAACTTGTTTTGTCTTAAAAACTATTACAAAGCTTATGTGCTTGTGCTATAGCATCAAACGAGGACACAGTTCTCCTAAGATTAAATTCCAAGAAATCAGGAAAATGTCCAGTGATTGAATTTTTCAGTGGAAAGAGCTACGATGTCACTCACCGCTGTGTGGGTCTGTATTCATGTAAGAATACAGTCTCCCGCTTCTGACTCCTGGACCCCAGTCAAAGCTATTTCTTGGGATGACCTTTGCTTGCCTCTTTCTTCATGTCACAGGCCTTACTATCAGCTCATGATACTGTGGCCCAGAAAGATTTTGAACCAATCCTTCCCCCTCTACCAGATAACATCCCTGAAAATGAAGAAGCCATGAGGATTGTCTGCTTAGTGAAGAACAAGCAGCCCCTGGTAAGGAAGCTTTCTCATGTTTTGATTATTTGAACTTGTGCAATCGATTCAATAAAGTGTTTTGTATAAATGGGTTATTTATAAGCAATGCTATAGAAATTTTGTTATTTCTATTCTCTTTTAAATTGACAGACTCATCTTGAACAAATAAAGTGCCTCCTTGGCAAATGGAGGGGGAAGGAGGAAAAAAACTAACAAAATTTCTTGGAAGTTGTTTGCCCTTGTGAACTAAGGATTTTATGTTGTACTATGCTTGTGATAAATACAGGGATTAGCACTGGAAAATCATAACATTAGAGATGGAAAAGATGCATTACAGGAGGCCCTATGTAAGATTTTATAGAATGTGAGAGTCGGAAACTGGGCTGTATAATGACCATTTTGTTCATGTCCCTTAAGAGACTAGGTTTACACATCTTTTAACGTATTGTGCACTGTACTTACGGGTCCTGCAATACTGTGCAGCTTTAAGGGGAAAAGGAATCTCTTTCAGTAATCTCCAGGCATTAAGGAGATCAGACTTGCAGTTTTAAAGGAATCGAAAGATATTTATTTATTTTTATTTTTCCAGGGTGCCACCATTAAACGCCATGAGATAACGGGTGACATTGTGGTTGCCAGGGTGATCCATGGTGGGCTAGCAGACAGAAGTGGTAAGTGTCATTTGAAACACACAGCAGGGAAAAGTCGTTTTTTTTTCTGCAACTGTAAATTCTCTCCTGTTAGAACTTTTAGGCACACACCTTGTACAATACCATATAAATAGTAGTAATTGCCTCACATTGAAGTACTTCTGACTTTTTTTTTATTTCTTCATGACTCTCTCATTCCAGGGTAAATGTGTTGCATTAAATAAAGGTGAGACAGCTAGCTTCAAACACAATCTTACAGTATTCAGAGTGGTAGCTGTGTTAGTCTGTATCAGCAAAAAGCACGAGGAGTACTTGTGGCACCTTAAAGACTAACAAATTTATTTGGGCATAAGCTTTCATGGGCTAAAACCCACTTCATCAGATATATGGAGTGGAAAATACAGTAGGAAGATATAGATATATACACAGAGAACATGAAAAGATGGGGGTCGCCATACCAACTCTAACGAGACAAATCAATTAAGGTCAGCTATTATCAGCAGGAGAAAAAAAACTTTTGTAGTGATAATCAGGATGGCCCATTTCAAACATTTGACAAGAAGGTGTGAGTAACAGTAGGGGGGAAAAATTAGGATGGGGAAATAGTTTTTAGTTTGTGCAATGACCCATCCACGCCCAGTCTTTATTCAAGCCTAATTTGGTGGTGTCCAGTTTGCAAATTAATTCCAGTTTTGCAGTTTCTCGTTGGAGTCTGTTTTTTAAGTTTTTTTGTTGAGGAATTGTTACTTTTAGGTCTTTAATTGAGTGTCCAGGGAGGTTGAAGTGTTCTTCAACTGGTTTTTGAATGTTATAATTCTTGACGTCTGATTTGTGTCCACTTATTCTTTTACGTAGAGACTGTCCAGTTTGGCCAATGTACATGGCAGAGGGGCATTGCTGGAACATGGCATATATCACCTTGGTAGATGTGCAGGTGAACGAGCCCCGATGGTGTGGATGATGTGATTAGGTCCTATGATGGTGTCCCTTGAATAGATATGTGGACAGAGTTGGCAACGGGGTTTGTTGCAAGGATATACAGTTGCAAGTTGTATACAGTGGCTGAATGAAATCCTGTTAGGATGAGATAACCTGTTCAACTCAGTTAAAGGGGAAGATGCAACTACCAGAACTCTGAATCGGAACACGTCAGTTTTGGGGGACCTCTAGTTTGGATAAGAATAGTTAACACTCCTTAAGTCCTTTTTCATAATCACTAGATCTCAAAGTGCTTTACAGAAAAGAGGAAGATTGAATACACCTATTCTACAGATAGAGAAGCTGAGGCTCAGAGAAGTCAGGTCAATTGCTTGAGATTGCACAGTGAAGGCTATACAGAGCTGTCTGCTTTATCCACAACACAATACTACTTCAGATCTGAAATTCCTGACTCGGGTCCGAATCTAGGATAGGAGCATTTCTTATTTCAGGGCTGTTCTCCAGTCTTCTGTTGCATCTCTGAACTTTTTCAGAATCACGTCTTCTCTATAATAAGTGTCTTCTTTCCTGTACCTTTTTATTTTAGGGTTGTTGTATGCTGGAGACAAGCTGGTAGAGGTGAATGGAGTTTCAGTGGAGGGACTAGAGCCAGAGCAAGTTATCCACATTCTGGTATGAAATGCACTTTACTTTTTTCTTTTTCTTTTTCTTTTTTTATTTATTTGTAGCTCAAGTGTAATTATATGTACTCATAAATGCACTTTAAAAAGAGCAGCCTAAATTCTCAATGTAAACTTTAGAGGGAGGAAGACCTACACACAAGCAATAATTTTATATGTAATGTACTACTTTGTCTGTTTTTTCATTGTGGGTGAAGTTCATTGTAACGATGCTGGTTCTGATGGGACCCAACTGGGAGTGCCAATTCAGGACAAATTGCTTTAAGCTTGGCAGTTACAGCCCAAGGCTAGGGTTTCTATGCACACCAAGGCAAACCAAACCAGCCAAATAGAGAAGACTTTTTGGTTTTACCCCACTGGCTAACCATAAGTCACACAAGCAATTCCCTTAGACGCTCCAGTTTCCCAGTATCACCACCAGTGCCACTTGTTATGGGGACAAATGGTTATGAAAACCCATACCCCAGTAAAAGAAAAAAGGTTCTCCTGATGCCAAAGGACCAAGCCCCAGACCCAGGTCAGTATATAAATCAGATCTTACCCACAAATCACACTGTTGCCAATCCTTTAGAATCTAAAATCTAAAGGTTCATTCATAAAAGGAAAAAGATATAGGTGAGAGCTAGAATTGGTTAAATGGAATCAATTACATACAGTAATGGCAAAATTCTTTGTTCAGGCTTGTAGCAGTGATAGAATAAAATGCAAGTTCAAATCAAGTCTCTGGAGTACATCCACAGCTGGGATGGGTCATTCCTTTGTTCAAAGCTTCAGTTTGTAGCAAAGTTCCTCCAGAGGTATGAAGCAGGATTGAAGACAAGATGGAGATGAGGCAGCTGCCTTTTATAGTCTCTTCCAGGTGTAAGAACACCCTTTTGTTCTTATTGTGGAAAATTACAGCAAAATGGAGTCTGGAGTCACATGGGCAAGTCACATGTCGATGCATGACTCAGTTCTTTACAGGTGGCAGCCATGGCCCACATGCTACCTTGCAGGTTCCCAGGAAGACTTCTTATGTGGATTGGAGTTTTCCAAGATCCATTGTCAGTTAAGTGTTTCTTGTTTGGGCACTAAATTTGCACGCTGCTTTCTCAAGAAGCTGACCAAATGCTTTACTAAGGCTACTTCAGAATCAAAACACATTGATATACAAGTACATAGCCAACATTTATAACTTCAACTACAAAAATCTCACACACACACACACACACAGCATAATCATAACCAGCAAACCATAGCCTTTATATAGACACCTTACCCGACAACTGCTGTACAATATTTGCTGCAAATATATAACAGTGGTTGCAGGGTATGTCAATAACATCACATTTATCCTGTGCAGTGAGCCAGCACATGGCCTATGTGCTATTTAAGCCTTCCAAATAGGGCTGAAGTGGTGCATAAGCCCAGATCTCTGTGTAGAGATGCATTCCACCCTTTGCCATTTGTACTAGGGGTCCTTTGGGACAAAATCCAGTAGAACCTCACTAATTCTCTATCTAAAATCAATAATTCAGCCAACCCTTACCCCAGCAGTCTCACTCCATTTCTCTGCAAAGGATTAGTTGTAGAATGCTGTCATAAGGTGTCACATTCCTAAGCCTTCATTCATTTTACAAAACGCATTAACTCCTATGTTACCAAGTACTGTCATAAATAATGTAAACTAAATAATCTTTGTCAAAATTAGCAAACAAAGATCACTCTGTGATGCACTACCCCTGAAGTTGGTCAGCTTGCTCACCAGGTCACAATATTTAGTATTCTTCATTGGCTCTCTAGTTGTTCGTGCCAATCAGTGAGGTTCCAATCTGGTTAGTGTCTGTTCTTTTATTTGTTTATCTCTCGTGATTTCTCTGTTAGCACCTATCTTCAGATGCATAACACACCATTAGAAATACAAACTTCACCATAACACACAATCTACAAATCTTGAAAACAATTCTTTTCCCTGCTTGTATGCTTTCCCAGCCCTATATAGTTAATTTAAATTAGATTTGAGAACTAAAATTAATTGTGAATTGATACTGAAAATAACAAGACATATATTTAAGGGAATTAGAAGTCTTAGCAAGGTTCCAAAGTTTCCGACACAGGAATTAAATCTATCTTTTTCCTTTAAAGATCTTTATTTTAACAATGATTCTGTATATGGCATTCTGCTGGAGCTAAGCAATTTCCATTCTTATAGAAAGGATATTTATAACAGGCTTTTGGAGCCATCATTCATCTTGCAGTGATGAAACTTAAAATGCTTTCAGTGTGTTACCAGTAGTAAATATATTTTGACCTTTTTTATTTCTGAAATCTTTTAGACTCTGTCCCAGGGAACAATTATGTTCAAACTGATTCCAGTTTCTGATCGGCCAGTCAGCAACCAAACAACAGTAAGAGATTAATTTATTTTTTCTTCCAGATTATTATTGTTACTGCAGTTAATCCAATAATGTCTAATGGGCAGTCTGCACAGTATGATACACGAGGGTAAGGTTGTTTAGAAGCATTTATTGCCAGCCCAGCTCACAGAAATCTCTAATAACATGTCTCGCCTAGACATATATGTCTCCACTGAAATTAATAGTTTGCTGTAGGTAATGTAATTAAATATAGCAAGCTGTGATAAAATTAAAGATAGTGAAGGCATCTCTGGAGTGATCCAGAGGGAGAAGGTCAAATTGTTCACAGTATACTAGATGACTACATTTTTCTTGATCAGGAAAATAATTGGATTTTGGACCTGGTGCTCTTCCCATTGAAGTCAATAACAAAACTTTTGTTAAAAGAAAAGGAGTACTTGTGGCACCTTAGAGACTAACCAATTTATTTGAGCATGAGCTTTCGTGAGCTACAGCTCACTTCATCGGATGCATACCGTGGAAACTGCAGCAGACTTTATATACACACATAAAGTCTGCTGCAGTTTCCACGGTATGCATCCGATGAAGTGAGCTGTAGCTCACGAAAGCTCATGCTCAAATAAATTGGTTAGTCTCTAAGGTGCCACAAGTACTCCTTTTCTTTTTGCGAATACAGACTAACACGGCTGTTACTCTGAAAACTTTTGTTAACTTCATCTGAAGTCAGATTAGGCCCTTAGTTTGTAAATATTCATACACACTGTTACTGTATCTGTTCTGAAGAAGCTCGCCTTCACTTATGTCTGTATGTTCTGTATCAGCTCTATGTGAGAGCAATGGCAGATTACTGGCCCCTGCAGGACCCTGCCATACCTTGTGCTGATGCAGGCTTGCCCTTTAAAAAGGGTGAAATCCTTCAGATTGTTGACCAGAATGATGTCCTCTGGTGGCAGGCCAGGCAAGTCTCAGACCTGAGTGCCTGTGCTGGGCTGATACCGTCAAACCATCTTCTGAAGAGGTAAGAAAATTAGTGTTTCTGAACTCAAACCGGAGAATGAGCCAGTTACCTTGGGTTTCATGATCTGAACTTAGCAATTATAGTACAGATTGAATCAATCAATAAAGACACACTGATGCCTGACAGACAGTTTGACCTTTCTGCATGTGTCTTCTCCTGTTTTAATAGTACTATGGACGTTTGTGTGAAAACAGGATGTTTTTCACCTTAAGTCTGATTGTAAGTAATTCAGAGCAGAGACATTGTCTTTATATTAGTGTGTAAAGCCCCTAACAATATCGGTCCTATATACACAAACTAAGATAAATAGCTTCAGACAAAGATTAAGGACTTTGGTTTCTCAGGGCTGTCCTTCGTGGTACAAAAAATGTAAAGATAAAAATCAGAATTTATGCCACAGAGGCATAATTATTTCTAAAAATCACTACAGTATTTTAAAGGTGTGTCTGAGGCATCTGTAGCTTTGTGTTTTTCATACTCAAAGCAGAGCTGACAGGTTTTTTTAAATGAGAAAAACACAACCACCTCCCTGTTTTCTGCATATGGTCAGTTTATATATAGAAAGGACCCTTTTACACAAAGTTGCCTAGTTATACAGCTTCTCTAGCATGGTTCTAGAACCATGTTGTACTATCCAGGGTACAAACAAAAAAAGCGTAGGGTGCCCCTAATTGTGCCAGACAACTGACTACTGATAAGCTTAGAGTTGTAACACACAGAGGCCCAGAGGGAGTTGTAATTAAGACTGTGTCTCAGAGAGATCCCAATACAGCACACTTCCAACCATGTGTACCACAATACAGTTAATACTGCTCTCCTCCATTACGTTCATTAATTTAAGGCAGTACTTTCAGGCCAGAGACGTTGAATATTGGCATTCTGATAGGTGTGGTAGGACACTGGCTTTCCTCCAATAGTTGTAGGTGGCCTAGACACTAGCTATGCTCTTGGTGGTTTGTAATGATGTTTATCCTTCAGGTAGATCTGAGCACTGTTGTAATTTTGTGTGCAGGTGATAGAATGGAGCATCTAAGTAGAAAGTAATGCAACGCTGAATTGATTTCTTACTGTGTTGGATTCTCTTCTGTTCAGGAAGCAGCGAGAATTCTGGTGGTCTCAGCCTTTCCAGCCCCATGTCTGTCTCAAATCAACAATATGTGAGTGCAAAATTCTCCAGCTCCCAGTGAAAGTGGGGAGGGAGAAGACTTTTTTTGTTTCTTTCATCCAGTAATACAGAAATTAAACATGATCAAATGAGTTTATATACCAAGAATCATTCATTGGGCCATATTATGACCTCAGAAATGCATTCAGAATCCCCACTGAAATCTGTGGGAGTAGCAGGTGTATCTGAATTTGGCACTTAACCTATTTTGGATTCTAAGGATCATTATTGTTCTCAGAATACAGTATATTTAGGATCTGATCCTGTGAAGTGCTGAGCACCTTGAATTCCCATTTAAGTCAATGGCAGCTGAGAGTACTCAACACCATCCAGGACTGAGCCTTATATATAGGCTATTTGCAGCAAAAAATCTGTCTATTCCCTCCTGAAGTGTTTATAAGACAAGTTTATTGTAGATTTCCATGGAAGGGAGACTAAGGAATAGCTAGCAGTTCTGTACCAGAAAATATTCTGCAATGTGTCATGTATAGCATTTCAGTTACTGCAATCATACCATTTCATTTTTCATTCTTTCCTTTTAGAATAAATTTGATAGTTTTAAACTGTAGTTCTCTTATTAAAGCTGTCTCTTTCCTCATATGAATGCTTGTTCATTGCGAATTTTAGTTGATTTCTGGGCCTAGTGTCTAAGATGACATGGAAAAACAGATATAACCAATTGACTTTGTGGTTTATTTGTAAAGTAAGAAGCCAGAAATGTACCTCCCACCTAAACTATCCTTCTACTGGCTATAAATGCAATAATTTCCTAGCCAGGACATTTACTTTCTCCTACTTCCCCTTTCCCTCTCCCACAACTTCTCTGTTTTTCTGTGGTCTGCATTATTACTTACTGATACTTTTAATGACCCATGAGGTGAATTTCACAGTTAAGTCAATGCTCTGTATTTTCATCTTTCAAGAGTCTTTCTGGTGCAGTTGATTTTACTTGGTAACTGTAGCACTGGCAATAGCTTTAGCTGTGTATTTATTTTTAACTGCTTCAATGGATTTGCCGTGGACAGTGAGTACTGTGGAAGAAGGTAAGAGATGATGCCTGGATGACACCACATTGCAGTACCTCACATCCCCTTTCAAGTCCAATGTTAGCTGATATCTAAATGTACAAGATACTGTCTGTTTATAGGTTTCAGAGGAACAGCCGTGTTAGTCTGTATTCGCAAAAAGAAAAGGAGTACTTGTGGCACCTTAGAGACTAACCAATTTATTTGAGCATGAGCTTTCGTGAGCTACAGCTCACTTCAAAGTGAGCTGTAGCTCACGAAAGCTCATGCTCAAATAAATTGGTTAGTCTCTAAGGTGCCACAAGTACTCCTTTTCTGTCTGTTTATAAAGACTTTAAAAATGACTAGATGCTATACTTGTACTTACAAGGATACATGTCAGGATTGGTTGGGGCAGATTTCCTTTTACATCTCTCTGCCAAGTCTATCTGCATTATGTGTAAATAGGGTGACTAAACAAATGCTTCATTGTGGTTTTGTTAACTTAAAAATACCCATAGCTCAGCAGTCATGTGTCTGATCAGATGTTTGAACTGGAAAACTCGGAGCTTGTGTTGCATGGAGAGGGGAATGGGAGAGTTTTGGTGGGCAGTCAGGAAGGTACACCAGGCTGCTTGGAAGAAGAAAAGGGTACCTTCTTGTTCTCTTGTTGCTGCAGCAGCCCACCAATGCTAGGAGCAGCTGTGAAGCATATATTAAGAGGCAGGGGGAAGAGGGTAGGGAGTAGGGCATCTTGCCTCCCTACTACAAGATGTTGGGCCTGAAGTAGGAATTATTGGGTGAAATCCTATTAATTGTGTTATGCAGCAGGTCAGATTAGATGATCCTTCTGGCTTTAAAATCCTATGAGTCTACTTCTGAGGGCAGTGCACAGTGAGGAAGGGTGACAACAGGTGGCCTGGTGGAGGACAGTCCCTGAAGTTTGTACCAGGAACATAGCCCGCTTGCTGTCACATTTTCCCAGCTGGGTAGCTGCCCCTTCATGGATCCAGTCTGCAGATCTATACAAACACTAGGACAAAACTGTGTGTTTTGAGCACATCCGACTCTGAAAACCAGGATATTCACCCTATTCTTGTATGAACCTCTAAGAAGGGATGTAAAATGTTAACCAGTTAACTGGTAAGCATTAGTCTTATTGGTTAACCCACCTCAACCATTAACCCCTGAGCTGGAGCGGCCCCAGCAGCCCTGTGCCGGCCTGCCCTTTTAATCAGTTAACCATTTAAACTCAATATTTTTAATAGTTTAAATGGTTAACTTTTTAAATGGTATTTACATCCCTACCTGTAAGAGCTGACCAGTGTGGTGTGTGCAATGGAGGGAGCAAATTGATAAGGAAATGGATTTCAGTTTCAAGCTTCAAAGGAATTACTAAAAACAGAAGAGAGAGATGTTTAAAAAGCTTTATTTTTCCAATTGTAATTTTAAAAATTGTCAGTGTACGTATAGCATTCTAGAAAAACATACACTTGCAAAATATGCAAAGGGTATGGGGGCGGGGAATGATGTTCTGATAGTCATACTGATCTTTCTCAAATAGATGATCTGAAATATAAACATTGCATCAGTTCAAATTAAACCCCTTTCTTGCTTCAGCTGGACAATTCAAATCAGATGTGTTGCCAGCTGGGAACCCTTTTGAGCACTGGTATAAGAAGCCTCTTTCCTCTGCCTATTGAAAGAGAAAGTTATTAGTACTTCAGAGCGACGCGCTATTGAAATATTAAAGATGTTTTAACCCAATTTGAGCTTCAGGGGGGATTAGTTTTTATTCTGATGTTGAAGTCTTGAATTTGGTGATTTTTTTTTTCAATGCTTTTAGAGATCAGATTATTTCCTTTCTCTTTTTATCTGCTATAACCTGCAGAGGACGACATGCAGATTGATGAGAAGTGTGTAGAAACAGGTAACTGACTTCATTTAAGGAGATTCATCTGTGTTTGCAGCAATATACCAGCCAGACAGACCACTAGTGTTTCTTGAATAAAATGGAACATCCTTATAGTGAGCTCATATATAGAGAAACTCTATTTATAGTAGAGTGTGGGAAGTAGAGTGAAAGCCCCAGACCATTTCAAAGCACTGCAGACGAACAGATTGCAATTCTGGTTATAATGAATCTTTGGTTGTAGTGAAGATGTTCTGTTGAAATGAATGGCTGTTCTAAATACATAAAACTCAATTTGAGATCCAGTGCATTTACCATGCAGATTATAGATTCAGTGGACCAAATTCAGAACTGATGTAAAGGGGTAAAACCTAGTTGGTCTCAATTTGGCTCATTAAACCTATAATATTAAGTTACTGTGGTTTTTAAGACCCTCTGGAACTCATTGCCACAAGTTTTCATTGAGGCAGAAAGCTTAGCTGGATTCAAACACGGATTGGATGTTTATATATTGATAACAAGACTATGCAGAGTTATACTAATACAGATTTAAAAAACAAGCATTTTAGAAAGGATATAAACCTTTTTGCTTCAAAGCACAAATACAACTCTTAGTAATGAGGTTAGACAGATTTCTTGGAGGCAGGCTATTCCATAACAGGATTTCTTGCACTAGCCTCGGAAGCAACTGGCAAAGGCCACTCTTGCAGACATGATACTGCAGGGGTGGCCAACCTGAGCCTGAGAAGGAGCCAGAATTTACCAATGTACATTGCCAAAGATCCACAGTAATACGTCAGCAGCCTCCCCATCAGCTCCCTACTCCCAATGCCAGCAGCCCCACCGACCAGTGCCTCCCCCTCCCTCCCCATACCTCCCAATCAGCTGTTTCGTGGAGTGCAGGAGGCTCGGGGGTGGGGTGGGGGGAAGTACTGAGGGCAAGGCAGGCTCAGGGGAAGGGGCAGAAAGGGTGGAGTGGGGGCAGAGCCTGTGGCAGAGCCAGGGGTAGAGCAATGAGCACCCCCCGGCACATTGGAAAGTTGGCACCTGTAGCTCCAGCCCCAGAGTCAGTGCCTATACAAGGAGCTGCATATTAACTTCTGAAGAGCTGCATGTGGTTCCGAAGCCACAGGTTGGCCACCCCTGTGATGTTGGATAAGATGAACTGCAGGTCTGATTCAGTATGGCAAGTCCTATGTTCCTAAATTGCAGGATCTATTTTCCACTGTTATATTTCTCAATGCAAGTCCATAAGGAGTTTGAGTTAGGGATGATGTTCATATCAGAGCTTTCATGTATACTGTGTTTGATTTCTGGAACATTAACCTTCTGAATGGGATTGCGTGAAATACAAGGAGCTGGATGTGCTTCACTGATGGTAAAAATGAGGAAAAAAATCAAAACCCCGGATCCAAACATCTTCAAACTCTGGTGGACATTTGGATTCCAGTTCTCACTTTTCAGCAACTTTGACAGAAGTTTGGATCCAGATTCTCACTTGGCAGGTCAAGTTCATTTCTAATTGAACTAAAAGAAAGCAGTGGAAGTATGTTTGGGAAGTTGGCAGGAGTCAGAGCCTTATGTGGTCCTTACAGTATTGGAAGGGAAATAATTTCTGATGTGATAAAATTATTTTAAGCAGAAATAGTATTGAAACAAAATCTATTTGCTATTTTTGCTATCTGGGTGACGTAAAAGATGAAGAAACATTTGAGTCTGGTAAGTCAAATTCTTCTTGCTTAATTTCAGTTCTGTCTCATCCTCTAAGACTCAAAGACAAGTAAGAGGTATCCAACAAAAAACAAAAACAAAAAAAACAAAAAGCAATAGGATTTAAGTGCAATTCTCTCTTGAAAAGTGACTCTCTAAAATTATACCTGTTTACTCAGTAGAACTGCTCCCTGTGTTTATCCAGAGCCATATCTGGGTGACTTCAGTGACCAAAATAAATTTTTACTGCTGTTTGTTCCTGTTTGCCCTGCAGAGCCCATATACAGAAGGAAAAGTGAGCTCAATTCTTTTCCTTCTTATGCAGCAATGACAGTCATGTTTACTAAGCTCTAATCCATTACATGTTTTGCAAACCGAAGGTGTCAGAAGGGATAACTGGAAGATAATGGGATTTCTCAAGTATAAATGAGACCCTAATTTAGTCCATGGTATCTTTATTACTGTGGATGAAGACAAATGAAGAAACTGTTTGTTAAATCCTAATCTGTGTTTTCAGGGCAGGCATAGAAACAAACACATTTCTTATTGTAAACTGAGCACCTCAGAGAGAAAATCATGGCACTCAATCATGGAACCTCAGGATGCCATTTTTACAGACACTTTTCAGAGTACAATCACACTTTGAAAGTCCTGTCATACATGTTCAACTGTGTATCTGAAGTACTACAAAACTTGGTCTTTTAGAACAAATTAGATCCCACAACACTTCTAAATTTCTCAGTTCAAATAATTTGCTTTCTTATTTTGGTTAAATTACTTGCCCTCTTCTTTTTCTTGCTGTGCTGTTGCTGCTGTACAAGAGTACCAAGGATCTGGATGTGGGCTCTTCCCCATCTGCTTAACTCCAACTCACAGAACCTTCATTCTTCTCCTCTTTTGAGGGCAATGCTTGAGGCTTACAAAACAGAATAAGGGTGTTGGTGAGGAAGTCACTTGCATCTTTATTTAGGGCCACTAATGCCCTTTTCCCCGCAATAGTTGCGTTCTTGGAGAATTAGTTCAAATCCTGCTCATTAGCTGAGTCCCCTCTTTTCTGTTTCCAGGCAGCCAGGGAAAAAAGTCCAAAGATCATTCCCAGCTCAGGCCTCTGCTCTACCTTGACAACTGAGTCATTGGAGCAACTATAGGTTGTACTTTCCAAGTACGCTATTGGAGAGTGGCCAAAGCCAAACTCTGTACCTGAGCACTCTCTTGTCTAGGGAGGTAGGATTCAGATCCAAGTTTTGTGGTTTGTCTGGCACATGCTTATTTTAATTTCAAACCAGCATTGTGTGTTTCATAGTTTGCACTCAAGTTGAAGGACATATGAATTGGTCCAGTTTTGCCCAGTTAGGCTTGAACTTGGTCTCCTCGGAGCCCTAATTGTTCATCTCTCTCTTCTTGTTTGTACATACTTATCCAAATCTCCAGAGGAGCTTAAAGAAGGTAACTTTAAACTTTTGTCTCCTATAGATTTTAAACAGTAATCTGCTAAAGCCAGAAAAATACTACAGACAATAGCCCTGTTACCTTTGGGAATTCAGCCCATTGCAGTACATAGTTGTTGAATTCGCTTGTTAACTCTGGGTGGAGAGGTCAGGTCAGGCAGAGGAACAAACAAGAGCTTAGGAGGAAATGACCATGGAAGTGAGGTAGGCAGATTAAAATGCAATTTTATTTTATTCTGATCCAGAAATCTGTCATCTTCGCTAACCAGGCAATTTATTATCGCTATATACCTTAGCCTGAATGTCTTCAGAGCATGCTCCACAACCCATTATTTGTCAGAGAATTCTCACTATAACCAAACATGAGGTGTTGTTAGTGTATATTCATTGATGTACACAGGCAGGAAGAAAAGCTTCAAAGAACCTGAGAAAAGTGAAGAGTAGAATCTATTATCAAGTCCACTATGGACAACACCATGCGATTCAACTACCTTTTTGGCGCTTATTTGTTCATGAGGCACCCATCGATGTAGTGTCTAATCTTAAAAGGTAATCCCATAGCATGCCTGGCACTTTCCAGGTGAATGTAAAGACAATGTCCCTGCCCTGGAACAACTTCCATATAAAGTTAGACCAAAGAGACAAAGAAAAGACAGCAGACAGAAGATGTAGGGAGAATAAAACTGAATAACAGGAAAGAAGATACAGCTTAGCTTGGGCAGGAGGGAGGGGAGGGGAGGCGAGGCGAGGCACAGTTTCCCATGGGAAATGAGATCTGAACACTGCTGTCAAAATAGGTTTCTTGCTAGTTATTTTTAACTTTTTTCATCTTGTTTATTATACAGTTTGGAAATGTTTTATTCTAGAAGAGTGATATGAGATTTGTAGGGAATTAGAAATCAGAGGCTTTGCAGAAGAAAGGAGTTTTAAGGAGGGAATGTGTGCACTGTTCAGGAAGGCTGTTCCAAGCACACAGCACAGCATGGGAGAAGGTCTGAAAATGAGTGCAGGAGAAGGAAATGAAGATCGGTTAGGCAGGTGATTTGGGCAGTGGCGAGGTATCAAAGTGCCTTTGGTTGTGGAATCTAAGGCTGAGATGTAGACAGCAGAAGTTTTTACAATTGTTCTGGGATTTTTTTTTTAGGTTTACTGATATTTTGAGCTCCCAGATTCTTGATTATTTTAATATTGCATTTAAGGAGTTCATGATGGCTAGATTTCACTTGAAGAACTTAAATTGCACACCGCTCTTCTACATTATGAATATTTAAAAACAGTGTGTGACACTTTAGCTGTTCTTTTCAAAGATAATAAAGTGAGGAATTTAAACTCTTATTTAGACTTTCTAGTGGGTGATGAGCTTAAATTTCACTTTCATAGAAATGTTAGTGACTTGGTTTAAATCTTTGATATTATACAGTACTTTAGTAAACTGGTCTCTGTACTTCATGACCTTATTTCAGTGGCATTATCAGTGACTTAAATATTTCCAATTCTGTGATATGAAAGATGAGGGGAAATTCAATTGACTGTTCAGTATTCACCCTCCTTTCTCCTTCCTGCTTGTTTGTTCTTCATGCCTAGAAGAGGAGGAGTTCAGTGGATCTGGCCAACGGGTCTTTATTGGTATGTGGTGATTAGGAATAGGCAAAAGGTTTGATTTAGACTGGATGCTTGTCTGAGGCTAAATCTATTGTGTGTGATTTTTCTCAGAAGCATTCCTTTCCCTTGCCTCTGAAGATTCCCTGACCCGATCTGTATTCACTTTGCCTTTATAGATCCCAGTAAGCTATCCTTCCCTTTCAGCTCCTTGCTTGTTGATTCTTTTCCAATAAGCCCACCTCCCCAGTAGGTTGCCAGCCCCTGCATAACTTAGCTGCACTAGGCTTCTGGTCCTTCAGATCTCCCCCTTAAATCTCATGCTGTGGTGTGAATGGCTTCTGGGGCTTTCCCAAGCTATACAGTGCAGACCATGTGAGGTTTCCATTGCTGGGGATGAGGCTAAGCAGCAAGTCTGGTAAGTGAACTACGGAACTCTTATGAACTGAGCTGAAAAAAAGGTTGAATTCAGTTGAGAGGTTGGATGAATTTTTGGAGCAGTTACATTTTCCAGAGCAAGTCACCCATTCCTAATGATCTATATGGCTGGAAATCTCCCTCTGGTTTGTTTTGCAGACTTGTTTCTGGGGGTCTAATTCTGGACAAAGTTAGAGTGACTTTCAATACTTGTGCTTCTATTTTGGAAATCCAAGCTGCTTTCAGAGTCCCCACCGAACTCTTGTATCAAGAACTATAGATAAATTATTTTCTACCTTAAGAAAAGCTACAACTCACAGTATGTTCTTGGTAGCCTAGTTGGAGATCATTCAGATAGTGGAACTAGTTATCACCTGCACCCACTGCTTGGATTTCAATATTAGTTACTTTCTGCCCTTCTCAGCTGGTTTCCGTAGAAGCATGCGTCTCTGCCGCAGGAAATCCCAGAACACCCAGCAGCCCTGTTACGCACGGTGTCCCAGCAGCTGTTGCAGCGCAGCAGCAGCCCCTTATGAGGAGGTGGTGAGATACCAGCGACATCCGACAGATCGAAACCGACTAATTGTGCTAGTGGGTATGTTCCAGCAACTGACAGGAGCATGCCCTCCAGACAGGGATGCACCTACTCATGCAAATCTTACAAGCTCTAGTAAATACAGAGGGAAGTGTCCTTACTGCTCAAGCGCTTGTGAAATGAGAGATTCAATAAAACCCAATCCAGTGGGAGTCCTCCCACTGACTGCAGTGGGCAGTGACATGGGCCCTAACACATAGTTCCTTAAGGTGGTCGACCCAAAGTTTGACCTACCTTTTATTTTTTCCAAACATCAGTTTTATAAAGTCTGTGTGCTAGTATGTGGTTCCTGTTGTTCCAAAACATTTCCTTCAATGCTTCAAAAGTTTCAGCAATGCAATACTCTCAGACAACCCTACAGTAACAAATATTGGATGAAAACACATTTCATTACAAAAACGGAGTCCAGTTTAACTTCAATGGGGTTATTATATATATAGCAATGATAAAACATTTATAAATCCTTTGTGACCAAGACCTTGAAGTGATGCTTTTATAGGACTATGGTTAAGAACAAACAGAAACAGCAATGGCGGGAGGGATGTTAAAAACCCAGCCTAGAAAACTTCAGTTTACGCAGCTGGGAAAGCTCAGTGGATATCAATGTGGATATCGGCCAGAGGAACGGCAGCAGCACTGCAGCTGTCATGGTTCCTGCCCCGCAGCCCTCTTTATCCCCTCCCCCTGCCTCCTGGGTGGGCATGGCCCTTCTGCTGCCTCTTGACCATGAAATGCCACCACTCCCCGGCACCCTGGGCAGTTGCCCTCACTGCCCACCCATAAGGCTCGCCCTGAGCGAGTATCATGATACGTGATGGGTTGCTGGTCCTAAAATGGAATTTTAGATTTAATAACTGTTTGAATGGAAGCTGCTCATATTTTTGCTAGGCGCAGCATTCCTGGGTATTTGTGGTGAGGGGAAAACCTCTCATCCTAGATCTGTACATGTTTGAGATATGTCTATAGATCTAGATCTATAGATATAATTCAAATTAGTATTGCTGAGTCCCCTTCTGCCTGTAGCTATTCTGCTAGAAAGTGGTGACCTGATCCTGAAGAGTACTAAACAGTCACAGCTCCTGTTGAATTCAATGGGAACTGTAGGTGCCTTGCACTTTTCAAAGTCAGGCACTTAATTTGTGATGCCACCAATTGGGAAGCCCAGTGGAGGAAGCAGTAACGTGATTTCCATGCTAGTCATTTGCTTCACCAGTTCTTGCATATGAGATAATACCGGAACATGACTGTTATAAATATAATATACTCATAGTTTTAGTAAACTATTTTATGTGTAGTCTCAGTCATTAATGTACTGTGTGTGGCTTTTTTTAAAACTATCCAGGTCCTTCAGGGGTTGGCGTGAATGAGCTAAGGCGGCGGCTTATTGGAATGAACCCTCATCATTTTCAAAGTGCTGTACCCCGTATGTGACATGTTCCTTTCACTCTTTAACTTCCTGTTTTGGGGAAAGAAAACATGAAATATCAGCTCCCTTTCCTCTGCCACAGAATATTTATAGACTCTTTGCTGCAGGGATGGTTTCCCTATCAATCAAGAATATTGAGCTATCTGTGAATTTGTTAAAAGGGCACAGATGTCTAGACTAACAATACACATTTCCTTTTATTTTTGTGGGAACTACAGGAAAGAAGGAAAAGCTACTTTATTTTACGGGGCTTTATTTAAAATATTGTCTTTGGCCAGTAATTTGCAACTGGCAGGGGAAGAGGAAGGATGGTCTTTGGGTTTAAGCCACTGTTATTTTGATTTGATTCTTGGTATGTCTGGGTTTGATTCTTGTTATGCCAATGGATTACCTGCGTGACTTTGGACAAGTCACTTAATCTCATTATACCTCATTTTTTCTCATTTGTAAAATGGGGCTGAGGCCCTTCCTAGGGGAGTAGTGAAGATAAATTCATTGAATGTTTGTTTATAAGGTGTCCAGATATTATGGTAATGAGGGCCATATAAATATCCAGATAGACAGGAAACTAGCAAGCCTTGCAGATTTCCCTTCTAGCATACTAAATCTAAAGCAGATTCTCACAACTTCTCATCTCTGACTTGAATGGAGAGATGTTTGGCATCTGCTCATTCGGTACAAGGTTTTGTGAAGATAAAACTCCAGAAGTGCAAGGCTCTAAATCCCTGTCTTAATAGTTTTAAAATTGATAAATTGCTCCAGTTCCTCAATCTTACATTTCTTAGCCTTCTCGAAGAAATTAATACAATATAAAGTGGAGCGGTGCAGGCCATTTTTAAACTAATGCAGAACAGTTTTCATGCACTGCCACTTGTCGAGGTGGTTTTATTTTTTCCGTGTAGCAGGAAAGTTAAATTGGCGGGAGGAGCATTGCAGTGTGTAAAACTCTACTGTTTAGTCAACAAAAGCTGACTTTTGTCGACAAAACTGTGTAGTGTAGACAAGGTCTAAGTCTAATGGTTCACTGTTCCTTCAGGAACAATGCCCATTGTGCTTAAAATGGACCCCAAGGGGTAGTGTGGGGACACACATTCAATTTTGGAAGATTTACTGATCTCACTCTAGTGTAGACAGGGCTTTTGCTGTGGGCTAGAAAGTAGAAACCATTAGTTATATTATTTCCATTTGATTACTTGTGAAAATGAACAGAGTTTTTAAAATTTATATATTCACAGCTCCAAAAATGGAGTTTGGGAGTCCTGGCTTTTCACTATGAACTTTGTTCTCAAATTGATTTACTGAAGAAAGAAAATACTTACAAGAACTTTAAAAACTTTTATTTTTCTTTCTTAAGACACCACTCGTGCTCAGAAAAGCTATGAAGAGAATGGTCGTGAGTATCACTATGTATCAAAGGAAACATTTGAAAACATGGTATATAGTCACAGGTAATTTTGGGATTCCTATTGCTTTCATCTCTGAAGTTTAACATGCTCCAAGGCAGGGATAGTCTTGTGGTTTAGCCCAAATGCTGGGAGTCAGAAGACCAGGGTTCTTTTCCTTTTCTGCCACAGACTTCTGGTGTGAGCTGTAGGATATGTGTTCACTGCACTTATAAACCCACAGCTGGCCCATGCCAGCTGACTCGGGCTTACTGGACTCAGGCTAAGGGACTGTTTAATTGCAGTGTAGATGTTTAGGCTTGGGCTGAAGCCCAGGCTCTAACTCTCTAAAGTTGGAGAGTCCCAGAGCTAGGACTGCAGCCCAAGCCTGAATGCCTACACTGCAATTAAACAGCTCCACAGCCCGAACCCCATGAGCCTGAGTCAGCTGGCACTGCCCAGAAGTGGATGTCTAATTGCTGTGTATACATGAATACCCTTAGGCCCAGATTTTCAAAGTAGCCTCTCCTTTAGAGTGTGTTGGTTTTTGACTGCCTAATTTTAGCAACCTCGGACCTGATTCTTAGAAGGCCTGAGCACCTGCAACTCCTGTGGACTTCAGTTGGAGTTATGGGTTCTCAACACTTCTAAAAATCAGACTGTACATTTATAAAATAAGGCTAAAACTGAGCACTCAAAATCAGGCCCTGATCCCACATCCACATCTTTAGTGGGAGTGGGCCTTGCAGTCAAATGTATCTCCATGAAGGCACCAGAACCTTTAAGGACCAAATTTTCAAAAGTGCCCTCTAACTTGTATGCTGCAGTTTCCCCATTAGTAAAATGAGGATATTTACATAATTCAAAGGGCTGTTATGAAGCATAATTCATTAAAGCATGTAAAACACTTTGGATACATCTACACAGCAAAAAAAAATCCTGCAGCAGCAAGTCTGAGCCTGGGTCTATAGACTTGGACTCACACCATAGTGCTAAAAATAGCGATGTAGCCATTCCAGCTTGGGCTCTGAAACCCACCCTCTTCCCTGGGCTTCGTAGCCTGAGCTCAGGCCCAAGCCAGAAGGTCTGTAGTATGGCTATTTTTTTTTTAGCTTTGTAGTGCAAGCTCCATGAGCCTGTGTGTAAACCCAGCCCCTGAGACTCACTGTCACAGGATTTGGGTGTGTTTTTTTGGTTTTTTTGCTGTGTAGATGTACCCTTCTTCTTCGAGTGCTTGCTCATGTCCATTCAACTTACGTGTGTGTGCTTGCCACATGCACTGGTGCTGGAAGTTTTTCCCTCAGCAGTATTCGTAGGGGACTGGCTCTGGCGCCCCCTGGAGTGGCGTGCACGTGCCGCGGTATATAGGGTGCTGCTGGTTCTCCCCACCCTCAGTTCCTTCTTGCCGCCAGTGATGGTGCTGGAACTGTTGCTTCAGCTAGTGCTGTTGCTGCTCATTCGTACAAACTAGTTATCTCTTGTATTATAGTGTATGTAGTTTTCTGTTAGTGTTTATAAATCCCTTAGCTATAGTTAGAGACTTTGTAGGTTCTGAATTGGACTTTGCCTCGGGGTGGGGCATGTCCCAATCCCCAGGCTTTAAGCCCTGTGATTGCTGCAAGAGGCCCGTGCCCATTAGTGATTCAGACAGCAGTTGTCTGCGTTGCTTGGGCGAAGGACACGTCAGTGAGAAGTGCAAAATTTGCAAGTCCTTCAAGCCAAGGACTAAGGAGCACGATATTCAGCCCTCACCCCAGCACCAGAGCAATGCTCTGACTCTGCACTGAGCACCGTGACCTTGGTACGCAGCGCCCCATTGGCCGTCCACTGGCCAGCACCAGTTCCCATCCGTGGCTCCAACCAAGAAGCCAAAGAAGGTGATGGGAGGCCAGTCTCCAACCTCCCGCAAGAGAAAGGATAAAACAGAGTGTGAACAAGGTCCCATGGTAGGCAACTCTTCACCCATGTCAGGATCTCAGGCCCAAGCTCCGAGGGAGTGATGTAGCCCAACCCGTTCCCCGCCGGCTGCCCTGGATAACGGCAGAGGCCTCCATCAGCTCTGGGTGCCGTCCATGCCAGAGGCCCTGCAGGCAGCACAGGAAATCATGTTCCTCCTGATGCCACCCACACCAGCTCCTGCGATTCCTCAGTCATGGGGTAAATACGCGTTCAGGCCACTTCCGCCCTCAGCAGCACCATTCCCCGTCATGGGGAACGTCTAGGGGTGAAAGTAACTTAAAGGACTTACCGGTACTCGGGAGTCCTGAGCAGGGGGCTTGGCCTCGACCGGAAGAGGCGGGGCCTTTAAATACCCAGGCCCTTTAAATCAAGGTTTAAAGGCTCCAAGGCTCTGTCTGCGGCTGGGAGCCTTGAGGCCTTTAAATCACCCCCAGAGCTGGCAGCTGGGAGCCCTGGGGCTCAGGGGTGATTTAAAGGGTCCCGGGCTCTGGCCACTGCTACCGCAGCAGCGCTCTGGGCCCTTTAAATTGCCGCCGGAGCCCTACCGCCGCTACCCCAGGGCTCCAGCAGCAGGGCTCAGGTGGCACTTTAAAGGGCCCGGGGGCTCTGGCCGCTGCGGGGAGCCTTTGGGGGTGTGCTTTAAAGGGTGCGGGGCTCCTCGCAGTGGCCGGAGCCCCAGGCCCTTCAAATCAGCACCGGAGCCCTGCCGCCACTACCCCAGGGCTCCAGCAGCAGGGCTCGGGGGGTGCTTTAAAGGGCCCGGGGGCTCCGGCCGCTGTGGGAGGGGCCACTGCGGGGGAGCCCGGGGGCTCCGGCCGCTGCTACCCCAGGGCTCTGGCAGCGGGGCTCGGGGGGCACTTTAAAGGGCCTGGGAGCCCAGGGCCCTTTAAAGCATCAGCTTGGGGAAGCCAGTCCGGCACGGCATACTGGCTCTTGCCGGTATGCCGTACCGGCTTACTTTCACCTCTGGGAACGTCCCACCAGCACTTGCCCTCCCGTAGCCGCCATGCATCTGACCACAAAAGGCAGATGCAGCGCAGCCCCATTTGGTCCCCAGACCTTGGGCACGGGCAGAGAGGCTCGAGGCGTAGCTTGCTGGCCACCGGGCACAGACCTTTGGAGGCATGCACCCCCCCAGCAGGAGTACCAGTCCTGGCACCCGGTATCTATGAGGCTGCTGAACCGCTCCAGGGACCCATCGAGGGATCGACGTCACCATTCCTCGGACTGTTGCCAATCCCGTAGGAGGACATCACCACCACATTTGGGCGCTTCCCGGCACTGGGCCCACTCCTCACCCCGGTACCGCTTGTCAAGTGCGAGACTTAGATCACCAGCTCCAAGCCATCGCGGATCCGTCGAGCGCCACTGGTCCCTAAGACCCCGCTCCAGATCAGACTCCAGGAAGAGTGACTGGCACCGGTCAGGACAGAGCCACCGTTCCTCTCTGTCCTGGTCACCTGGGAGTGACCACTCAGGATCCAGCCCTGGTTCAGAGCAAGGTTCCCTGACAGCGGGACAAGCTCCGGTATCAGCGGTACTGGCTCCATGGTCAGCCCCAAAACCAGCCCCGTGGCCTCAGGCCAGGTTCACCCAGCCCTCCCAGGCCGCCCGCTCGGTGTCCGGCGCCTCGGAGAGACCAGCTGCCTCTCCCGCCCTCCTGTGGTGCACAAAGCCTTGGGTGCAAGGACCCCGCAGGTCAAAGAGGGACCAGGGGAACAAGCCACTGGGCCACAAATGGTTGTGGAGGACCCTACTGCACCCGCATCTTCCTCGTCATCACCAGACGAGGCTATAACGGGGTCACCTCTCCCGGTTCCTCCGGATGATGGTAAAGCACACCAGGAACTACTGAAGAGGGTTGCTGCCAACCTGATCTTCAGGCGGAGGAGCTAGAGGAGCCTTCGGATTCTCTCTTCAATGTCCTCTGCTCCACAGCACTGGCCAGGGTGGCTCTACCCTTCATGATGGGGTCTCTAAGATCACTAATGCCCTGTGGCAAACTCCTTCCTCCCATCTCCAAGAGGGCCGAGCGCAAGTATTTTGTGCCATCCAAAGGCCACGAGTACCTGTACACCCACCCTGCTCCCAACTCCCTAGTGGTAGAAGCAGTTATCCACAGGGGACAACAAGGTCAACCTGGGGTACCCCTAAGAACAAAGACTCCAAGAGACTAGACTTGTTTGGGCGTAAGGTTTATTCGTCCTCCAGTTGAGGGTGGCCAACCATCAAGCCCTCCTGAGATGCTATGATTTTAACATGTGGCAAGCCATAGCCAAGTTCAAGGGCTCCCTTCCTGAGGCTTCTAGGAAGGAGTTCTGGGCTATTATGGACTAGGGCACACCTGCTACCAGGACCATGCTCCTGGCAGTGCTCCGGCGCCAATCATCAGAGCCCACTCAACCAGAGCACAGGCATCTTTGGTGGCCTTCCTGGAACACTTCCCAATCCAGGACATCTTTTGAGTCACAACGTAGCCCTCAGTGCACACATTCACAGCCGTCTACGCCATTACCCAGGAGGCCAGGGATGACGTTGAGTTCGGCAGAGCAGTGTTGCAATCTCCACGTCCGTGAACTCCTACCCACCTCCGAGGGATACTGGTTGGGAGTCACCTAAGTTGAATGGACATGAGCAAGCACTCGAAGAAAAGACAGTTATCTTTTCCATAACTGGTGTTCTTCAAGATGTGTTGCTCATGTCTATTCCACAACCTGCCCTCCTTCCCCACTGTCGGAGTTTCTGGCAAGAAGGAACTGAGGGTGGGGAGAACTAGCAGTGCCCTATATACCGCGGCATGTGTGTCCCCTACGGATACTGCTGAGGGAAAAACTTCCGGGACCGGTGTATGTGGTGAGCACACACACCTAAGTTGAATAGACAGGAGCAACATATCTCGAAGAACACCAGTTACGGAAAAGGTAACTGTCTTTTTGAGATCCCGATGGTTAGCCCTACATAAATGCAAAGTATTGGTTTTGTTATTACTGTAGTAAATACCAGTGTAGAATTTCCATATAGATGTCTTGATACCAATCAAAACCATGACTTCTGAACCTTCTCATGTATATTTGGAGGGGAAGTGGGTAGAAATACATAATTTTGGAGTCTCTTCAGAGACTGGAGATTTGGATCTGACAGTCCTGTTTAATCTAGATTTTTATCCTCAGTAACAGTTCCTGTATCTTAATATCATTCAGTTTTCTCAGAGGAGTAATCCTTCTTTAGCTCTTCGGTCTCTTGATTTCATTGCTAAATGCATATTTCAGAGGCTGTCATTTAAAGGGTCTGCTTCACTTCTCTTCTCATTCTCCCTTCTCACCCCTCTTGCAGAATGCTGGAGCATGGGGAATACAAGGGACACCTATATGGCACCAGTGTTGATGCTGTGCGAACAGTTCTTGATGAAGGGAAGATCTGTATAGTGGATTTGGAACCACAGGTAACTAGGGGGATCTAAGACTTAAACTTCATGGAAGAGACTGTCTTCTGCATCCTACAGGTCCTGAGAACTGCTTGGAGAGAAGGTTCAATTAGCAAACTTACTATAAAATTGGATCAGGATTCATTAATAAGATTGTGTACATTGTAAACAACAAAGTGAGGTGGAGTATATACATGCACACATGCTATCATTTCTAATGTGCTTATCACCATGGTTTAGAAGTCTATTCTGGTTATTGTATCACATACTTCCAATTGAAAATTTTCCAGGAAAAATGGACACTGACCCATATTGCCTTATACTGTTTTGTACAATGAGACAGTACATCCTGAACGAATGCTACTAGCGACTGAAAAAACTGTTCGTTCATAGCTTGGAAACTTAATCCAGTAGGAGAGACGGGAACGTTTAAGAAAGAATGATTCTCCCGAGACAGTCTAAAGTGTCCCCAGCTTAATTTTACATTGTTGTGTTCTTTAGACTTAAAAGTAGTGCCACAGCAATGTCACTGAAGAAACACCTTCCCCAATTCTCTCTAAATGCTTAGAGCAGGGGTGGCGAACCTGTGGCTCTAGAGCCACATGCGGCTCTTCAGAAGTTAATATGCGGCACCGACTCCGGGGCTGGAGCTACAGGTGCCAACTTTCCAATGGGCCAGGGGGTGCTCACTGCTCCACCCCTGGCTCTGCCACAGGCCCTGCCCCCACTCCAGCCCTAAGCCTGCTGTGGCTTCGTTCCTCCCACTCCCCCTCCAAGCCTCCTGCATGCCACGAAACAGCTGATCCGGAGGTGCGGGGAGGGAGGGGAAGGCGCTGATCAGAAGGACTGCTGGTGGGTGGGAGGCGCTGGGGTGGGGTGGGAGCTCATGGGGGGGCTGCTGACATATTACTGTGGCTCTTTGGCAATGTACGTTGGTAAATTCTGGCGGCTTAGGCTCAGGTTGGCCACCCCTGGGTTAGAGGGAGAACCCCTTTTTCCTCTTCCTTCTCACTGATCGGTGAGAACCAGGGTGGAGTTAACAAAAGAATTTTTCAGAAGCTGCCTGTGTGACTTGAGATTCTTTTATGAGGCGGAATGGTCACTATATCTCCTCAGCGAGGTGATTGGTTAGAGAAGTTTAGGTTGTATCACCTTAAAGGTCTAAAAATGTTGCTCCTTAGATGGAGCTACTATTCTTAACTGATGGTCACAATCAGTGCTTCAAACATTAAGAAAAGGAGTACTTGTGGCACCTTAGAGACTAACCAATTTATTTGAGCATGAGCTTTCGTGAGCTACAGCTCACTTCTGGTTAGTCTCTAAGGTGCCACAAGTACTCCTTTTCTTTTTGCGAATACAGACTAACACGGCTGTTACTCTGAAATCAAACATTAAGATAACTTCCACATATGCTCCTCTTTTGGGCACTGCAAAAAATATTTCTCCGAAGGCCAGAAAAGAACAAGATTTCTCTCAGCTCCCTTTACGATTCCTGATCCATTTCTAGACCACTCAGCCAAATGAAAAAGTCAGCATCCTGCTAGTTCACATAGGCTTTCTTCTTTCTAATTCCTGGCCCTAGGCTTGCTGGTAGGGAGGGATAAGGCTAATAAAGGTCTGAGTTAGTAGTTGTCAGAAGGTGCTGAAGGCTTTAAGTCCCGCAAAGAACCCTTCTAAAATTTTTCTAAATTACTCCCTTATTTGCTGGTATGTATTCTTCTAATTTTAGAGGGCTTCCATACCTGGGTGTCTCTGGGAACCTAACAAAATATCATTTAAAAACATAACTGGAAGAAAGGCTCTGTGGCACAATAAATTCCAGAGGGAAACTTCCTTTAGATACATGGACCTGGAATTGTGCAGGCTTTGACTTGGTGTAGTGGCTTGTGCTGGTTGAAGAAATGAAGATAAGTTACACAGCCTCAGGTGTGAAGTTGTGTGCTGCTCAAAACCATAACAAAACAACCTACCATGAAGGCTCCTATGCTGCGCATTGATGTTCCCTGTGCTCCTGCTGCCTTTCGAGTTTTTCTTCTTGTCCATTTCTTCACCTGAATTCAGTTCTCAATGAAAAAAGGAAATTTGATTTTGCCACTGTGGCAGAACATACTTTGTACTCATTAGTTTTTGAACTCCCCCTGCTTTTCACAACAGGTTACAAATACTACTTACTCACAGTGATCTGTTGACATCAACAATTGCATCAATGCATGGAGAGAAGGAAACAAAAGGCAGACATTGCCTTGCAATACATGGAGCAGGAGAATCAATATTTTCCAAAGGCAGCCCCAAAACCAAGACAGTTTTGAGCCTCTAAAAAAGAATTACAATTGAAGATTTAAAACTCCCTTAAAAGGTAGCGGATGTAACCTTTTAATGGCCATGTTAGGATTTTGAATACTGCAAAGTCTGGAAATGATGGTACATAACCATTTGTTTTTAATAGAAATAAAATATGGGATGAATACGACTTATACATTTTAATGTAACTGCTATCTGACCTTGACTTGCAGGGTATCCAAATGGCTCGGACACACGATCTAAAAGCCTATATTATATTCATCAAGCCACCTAGTATGAGCTGCATGAGACAGTCTCGGAAAAACGCCAGGGTCATTACAGACTATTATGTGAACATGAAATTCAAGGTGAGTTTCAGAGAATGAAGGTGGTGCAACAGTGATGGTTCAGTCAGAAACTGCCACATTCCTATATTGTATTAATGGTTTAAAGGACCCTCGTGTCTTTGGTCTGAAATAAATCAGATCTGATAACATTCAGCATGTTGCGAAGCCCCTCTCTCTTCCTGGTGTTTTGGAGTGGAAGTGGAGAACAGAGGGCTGGGAATTGTGCCCTGGGGTTGGGATATGTGGCTAGAGTGGGTTTCTTTGGAGGAAGTCTGATTTCTGTATTTATATTTGCGTTATTTGATTTGTTTTTGTAATATATAGCCAAGGTGCCTAGATCTCTGGGTAGGCACTTCCATGTCATTTAAAGTTAAATATGTGGAACCATCTTCCTTCAGTGTTGTCATAGAGTCCCTTTTCCTATAGACATCCGCTATAGATATTTCAAACAAAAGCACAGTGGTTGTGTTCTGCATGTGATGCATTCCTACCTATATTACAGTAAAATTATTGATGCCTTACTTTGTCTAGACACTTAACAAAAATTGAACAGGATTCAAAAAAAGTCAAACTTTTTTCTATAACTTTTAGTCTTCAATTTGACCTTCATTGTCTAGCTCTGTATTTTAAAATTTTAGATTTCTGATGACTTCCTAGACTCCCTTTTCCTTCATTTTGTCTGTGGGAGGTGATCATAATTACATAACTAAAAACATGGAATTTGGGGAAATATTGCTGACAAACTGAAATACAGATTAGGAACATAGGTGTGGCAAGACTGATCAGACCTCTGGTCTATCACATCTGGATTCTGCCTGTAGCATTAGCCAGTACAGTGATACTTCAGAGGCAAATAACAGCACCCTCACCTCATCTAGGCAACTGTGCAATGCAGCATGTGGGGGTAGAGGAAGACTTCTTGTGAACCATGCAAGCCATCAGTCGTGCTCCAAAGGTTTAGAATTGATTACCATTGTAATGGCATGCGTATCTTACAGTTGTTATAGGTTATAAGTCAGAATAATTTCCATTTGTGTTAACATTTACAGACAGGAACCATCCTCAGCTGATGTAAATTGGCATGGCTTCATTGAAGTCACTAGAACTTCGCCAATTTACACTAGCTGAGGATCTGGCCCATGGTGTGGTTTTCCAAATCGTCCCTACCCTGAAAAGACATACAAAATAACTGATCCTGGAAGCCCCGTGGAACTTGCAATGACTTCAGTCAGAGCTTCTGCTTGCAGATGGTTTGCAGGATTGAGTCCCACTGGAAATTATATGCAAGAACTCCCTCTTATTCTCAAACGAATATCAAGTGATCATATTTTAATACAGGGGAGCTTATTCCAAGAAGCATGAGGTTTATAATGGGACACGCATGCAAATGGTTTGGAGTTGACATATAGAAACTAAGTTTTCTGAAGGGATGTCTGCAACACTTTCAGGGGGAACCATGGCAGAATAGAAGGTCTTTATTTATAATAATATTACTTTGTATTTCTATGCCACCTTTTATATGAGGATCTCAAAGTGTTTTATGAACATCAGTGAATTAACCCTCATAACCTCCCTGTGAGGTAAGGAAGTAGTAGTATCCTTTATTTTACAAATTGGAAACTTAAGCACAGACGGGCTAAGTGTCTTGCCCAAGGTCACATACTGAGTCAATAGTAGAGCTGGGAAGAGAAATCAAATCTCCTGGCTCCCAGTTCTGTCATCTAGCCACTAACCTCCAGTACCTCTTTGGAAGAGTAGAAAGTGAAAACTTGGATAAACCTATTCCCATCCAAAAGTGTCCCACATGAAACTATAATGTTCTATAGGTCTGTACTGTCTCTTACAGGAGGAAGACTTGCAGGAGATGGAGGACTGTGCTAAGAAAATGGAAGCTCAGTTTGGTCAATTCTTTGATCAAGTGATTGTAAATGACAACTTACAAGAGGCCTGTGTGCAGCTGCTGTCTGCAGTCCATCAGGCACAGGATGATCCCCAGTGGGTCCCTGCTACATGGATTTGTTCAGATACTCAGCCATAATTCTGAGAAGCAGGCAGCTTCACAAAGATTATATCTTATGTTTTACCTCCAGAATAATCCTGTCAGGATTGTAAGAATATATCTTTGTGTGGAGAGAGTTTGGAGGGGGATTAGGAAAAAAGCTATAATGAGATAATCATACTGTCTTCATTGTAGTTCTTACTGCAACATGTGATGCTTAACATCAATTTTGTACCAAAAAAGTGCTGTAGTATCTCAGAATTACAAAAATAAAAGATCTGTTTTCTTGCATGTACTTGTGTGGTCTAATCATACCTGAGTTAAAGAAAAAGTGCTTCCCATACTTCCTTTTTGTTAGAGCCTTCTTCATTTTTATGATGCTTGTGTATTCCCAAAGGATAATCCCCCATGGTTTTATCAAGATGTAGCAAGTTTGGAGTATGCTTAGTAGGTTGACTTGATGCACCAGGGGAGAGTGCTTTATAAATGTATTATTCTGCTGCTTGCTTCTGTCTCAAACAAGTTTCTTAGCTGATCTTTCTTTTTAAATTAGGTTTAATGCCATTCACAACACAAATGACTCCAGAACTCACATTCACCTGTAAAATAAAATTGACTTTATTTTAATTTTTTTACAGCTATTAAATGCTGACAGATATCATCTTTGTAAAGACACATCACTAAATGTAATGATGATCTAGTCCATAGCAGGTTAGCAGAAGCAATTTACAAGAGCAGGTTTATCAGTCTAGAAGCAGTTAAGTGCCTGATACTGCAAATGCTTATTCACATGACTAGTCTAACTGAAGTCAAATCAGTGAAGTTACTCATGTGCCTAAGTGTAAGAGAGCATCCTTGGGTTCTGAGTCCTTTGGTTGCAAGGGTTCCCAAACACAGCAGTAAATAAGAATGGCAGATGATGATGTGCACAACTGATTGATGGCAGCACCCTGCTTCTGGTCCAGGATTTAGAAATGAGATGCACCATCAAAAGGAGGACAGCTGCTGGTAACTCTAACTCCTGACTCCCTTTGGTGCATCTTGGCTTATACTAGTAATCCACTGTTGTCCACTAGAAGCAAATGTGTATTTATGATGTCTGATAATGAACAGGTTTGTGTAATATACTAAAGAATAATGGCATCTTTAGAACTGAATCCTCTCTCGTCCGAGTTTATGTAGAAGTATAACACTATAAACTCCATCAAGTACTTACTTGCATTTGGTTACTCTGCACTCCTCTCTCATCCTAACCAGTATAACTGAAACATGTTGCAAGGTCAATTGGGTAAACTGGTAAAAACTTCCTTTTCCTGGGTCATTTTTAATTTATGTAAAACAGAACAATTAGAGGTTTAAAGCATTTAGCAAAAAAGTTTTATTTTCAAAGCTAGGGAAAGCAAGAGTGCAGAGCTCAGTGTCCAGTGCCTTATGCACCTGAGTTTTCTACTGTACGTGTTGCACTAGTCATTCACCATTACAGAAAATAAGTAACGCAAATGTTAAGGCTATGTATGTGGGTTTCTTAAGTCTAATAGAAAAGATTCTGGGTTTTCCCTTCGCACAATTCTTACACCTACTGACTGCTCTAGCTAAAAATTATAATACACAATAAACCCAGGTAATACACTTCCAGTTGAGTGCACTTTTAGAGATTGGTATCTTATACCAGCTATTGACTATTCATGTGCCAATACATAACTACTCTGGACAAGTGTGTAAAGTACACGTCAGGACAGTATAAAGGAATAGGTTCCTTCCAGTTCTTTCCCTCCCTACTACCAGCAAACTGAAGAGAACCTGGTGATGGTTTCTCTCTCCTTCTGAAACACTATGCCGTGTTCATGTGTAGGTGTGTTTCCCAACAATCAGTTCCTTTGATCACAGGGCAGCTTGGGCATTGGTGTTATGGTCTTCCTGTCTTTTTTCTACATTTGATTTCCTGTAAGAGCTTTTAAAATGCAATCTTTGGTCTCTCATAATTGCCAGTCAAGGCTGTTTTAAAAACACAAAACAAAAAACCTGCACATTTAAAAGTGGTGATATTAAAAGCATATTTTAATGCAATGGTAGAGTTGAAAAATAGTTGTATTTGACAAGCCACACAGAGCTCTTTCACACCATCCTGGTGGCTCTTGTATTTTGCCCTTTTAAGAGTATGTGTTCAGTCATTGAACAGAGAGCCTAGTTTAGATAGTGGGAGTTTTGTTTAGATTTTTCTTAGAATTGTGCAAATCCATATATTTTGTTTTTCTTAGTCTGGATTCCTCTTGCTAGTTCCATTTTTTTTCTGTGATACTGTACTTATTTCTGTACTTATATTATTTCCTCTCCTTCAGAGCCTGACTGGCCAAACCCCCACGTTCCTTCTGATTCTTCCTGTCCAGGACTGCAGAGGAACCTTGAATTGGCAGGGGGCATCGCAAATGAACATGAGCTAACTCGATTGGTAAACGAGCAAAGGCTCCAAGGATGGCCATGCAAAGTACTATTGCAGGGCCCTGCTGTTCATCGTTGTGTTCTTTTTGAGGCTTCTTCCCCAGCCCTCCCCCTTGGTCCAGGTTAAACAAAACATTTCAAGATGCACTTAAAAGTGAGGTTCCCTGTCGTCACTAGGGAGAGATGCTCCAGCAAAGGTTGCAGACCACAGCCCCATGGGGCGCAAGGGCCGCCGGGGCGGAGCCCTAACTGCAGGTCCTGCTTGTAAGGAGAGGGGGCTGCCCGCTCGGGCCTGCTTGACGCCTACACCCTACAGTGTCTGACACAAGGGCCGGAGGGGGAGCCGGCTAGGGGCGATGGCTGCGTGACCCAGCAGCTGGGGGCCTGGGCGCTACCCCCGGCGCTCTTGGCCTTGGAGAGCGGAGCCCCCGCCTAGGCCAGAGGCAGGAGGGATGAGCCAAAAGCGGCCTCGCCCCGAGCTGGAGGGGGGGCTCCAGCTGCTACACCAGGCCGCCCCCCGAGCTCGCCATCCTCTCCCCGGGGGCCGGAGCCACACGTACGCTCCAGCCCCCGCCTCACGCAGCGCGGGCTCCAGCCCGGCCGGGGTGGTCCCTGCTGGGGGGGCGGGCCCGCCCGCGCCTTGCTGTGCAGCCTGGGCCGGGGCAGGGGCAGAGCCAGGGGCCGGGGCGGGGGGGGCGTTAACCTCTAGGCCCGCAGCCTCCTCGCTGAGCCCCTGGTGGCCGCCCGGAAATCCCTGCCCGGCAGCACCCTCCCCTTCCCCCGCGGCTCCAGCGTCTCGGCGACGGGCGCGCTGGGCTGTGGAGCCGGCGGCGAGCTCCAGGCAAGGCGCGGCATGGAGACCCCGCAGCAGGGAGCCCGCCAGGTGAGGGGCCTGGGCAGGTTGCCGCGGCGAGAGGAGGGGAAATGCGGGGTGGCTCCCTTATCGGGGGAATGGGTTGGGGGTTGGAGGTGGGGAGCAGGGAGTGTGGGGAGAGGGCATGTAGGAGGGAGGGGGGGGTTGCAGGTGGGGAGCGGTTGTGTGGGGAGAAGCTCCCTTATGGGGGAATGTGTTGGGGGTTGGAGGTAGGGTGAGGCTTCCTCATGGGGGTCGTGTGTAGGTGGAGAGGGAGAGTGTGTGGGGGAGGGTTGTAGGTTGGGAAAGGGGTGTGGGGGGGAAAGCTCCCTCATGGGGGGGAGGGTGCAGGATGGGGGGGCTCTTAGAGTTATTTTTGAGATTTACAGCCTCTTCCTCTCAGATTGGAGGCAGGGGTTTTGACGTCTCCCTGTCAGTGGCCCCCCTTCAGCTCCAGTTCGGTGTGTAACACAGATGGATGGCTATATGGAGGCTTTTAATCCTGCTGAGCTTTCTGAGGCCCCCAACCTGACCTGCATTTTCAGCTGTGCTAAGTAACTGTGTTGAATATGGATTCTGCTACCTCGGTTGTGCACATGGGACCCAGATCTTGATTAAAAGCTGTAGTTTAAGAACCGTTCATGGTGCAGACCAATCTTGAAAAGTCTTTTTTTCAAAAGCCCTTTCAGTGAAGTTCTGTGCCCCATCTGAGCTGGCCAGCACGGCCACGTTAGGAGATTGTAGCTTTAAAAACAGTGCTTAAAATCAGTTTGCTGAAATAACTGAGCAGGCAGCGTGTTTTGCAATTGCATCTTAGTTGTAGCAATATTGGGAGCCCTCGCGTAGACCAAGCTCCTGTGGCCACCAACTTTTTTAACAGTGTTGTTAACCCTGCTCAGACCTACATAATACAGTACTGTATTAAGAATGCTAGTGCTTGTGGGAGCGTTGTTTACACTGGTGCTGTTGCTGTTGGAGTTCACCAGTGTTAACAATTGTGGGCTTTTTTTTGCCCCCCCCCCCCATATAGACCAAAAAGAGTGACTTTTTCCAAGGGGACATATTAACCCCCTTTATTGATCAAATAACTAGCAATGTCTTGTACATGAACATGATCATGGTCTCGTGCAAATGGCAGCCAGGAATTTCTGATCCCTGTTCTGTTGTGGGCTTGGGCAAGCAAGTCTCTCTTACTGCCTTGGTTTCCTTATCCTTATAATAAATATGTTTATATCATAGCGTTTTTAAATCAGTGTAATGTGTTTTGAAGATGTAAAGAGCTATAAAAATAAGAATGGTCTAAATCTCAGGACTTGCAGTACCTACACTCCTCAGAACCACTGGTTTAAATCCTGGCAGTGCTGACTTAGCCCGTTATGCTTCTGTGGCAAATAAATTCAGTTCAGTGCAATTTAGCCTGGGTCACGTTTGGATAGGGTGACCAGATGTCCCGATATTTAACCCTTTGTCCCACATCCCAATCAATGTAAGCATGGGTAAGAATTACTCTTGTGAGTAAAGGGTCATGGGATCTTGGATTTCTTTAATTGCAAGCAGCATTAAGACCTACTGCTGTTCCATTTGGAAAGTTGATGGCAAAATTCCCATAGACTTAAATAAGAGCAATATCAGGGACAACAAGGTTCATGTCTAGCTAATCCTGTCTATCAGAAGCTTATTTTTGTGCAGAGTAAGCTGAGGTCAGAGTCAACACTGTCGGGTTTAGGAAGCTGTTCAGTGTCTCTCTCAAGGACTGATTTTGAATGGTATGGGGAAGAAACAAGTGGTGAGTTCAGTTCTAGCAAGCCTTTAACTACATTGTCTGTGTAATTTTTAATTGAAATAAAGTCTTCGGAGAATGGGGATTTTTCCTTTGTCCAGTTTACTTATTTAATACAAAATCTGAATCTAAGCTGCCTCATTTTTTCTAGGTGAGAAACATTTATCAGGTGTGTGAGCTATGCTTCAGCTAGTCTGTTAACGAGAGGTTTTATTATTTTGTAGTTTTAATTTTGTTTTGACCTTATGGTCAAAATAATTTGAAAAGGTTGTGTTTTCTTGCACATTTTATCATGTTAGACTGTTCTATCTTTAAATTTATAATTTCACTAGTAAAGTACCTGCAACTCTTCATACTATAATCTGCAAATATGTTGATATTAAATGCCTAATTTTTGGCAGTGTTTTTGTAGATAATATTTTCAACAACTGATTGGAGTGATGAATTAACTTTCCTGTTTGTGTAGTTTATTATAAGAGAAGTAAAAATATTTAAAGAGAACAGCTACATATGCTTCTGAGGTGTCTATGGTATCTCTCTAAAATCCAGCACACATCTGAATTTAGGCATTGACATCAAATTTGTATCATATACTACTTTAGTATCATATACTACATAGTACCTTCCATCCAAGGATCTCAATGCACTTGTGTACATATACATATGTACGTTATGTTCAGAATCGCCTATCAGAAGTTTTAATATTTGTTGGATGTGTGGAATTAGCTTGTTTCTGTGAAATGGCTTAGCAAGGGTTTAGAAGGGAGATGGTTTCATAACATACTAATGGAAGATTTTTTTATTTCAGTGCCCACCCCGTGCCCTTCCTCCAGTTCCAAGGTAAGATTAGCTGATTATATGAAATATGGTAATTTTTGTGCCCTGGAATGTACTTGAAAGTTGTGAAATTAAGAAAAATGAACTCAACAAAAATCTCATAATGCTCTCACTGACTTTAGTGACATTTTGCTAAGTGTCTTAAAGAGACAAATATGCTTTCAATTCTGTGCTGAACAAAGTTTAAAATAAAATCAAACTTGCATTTGTGAAACTAGGGTGAAGGCTGTGTCAGCAGTTTCATTATAAACCTAGCTTTATTTCAGTTTTGCATTTCACCACAAAAAATTGCAATAGACTAACATTTTTATAGGTTTCAGAGTAACAGCCGTGTTAGTCTGTATTCACAAAAAGAAAAGGAGTACTTGTGGCACCTTAGAGACTAACCAATTTATTTGAGCATAAGCTTTCGTGAGCTACAGCTCACTGCATCGGATGCATACTGTGGAAAGGACTGGCCTATCAAGCATTCTTACAACTACAATACCCACCTGTGGAAGTGAAGAAACAGACTGACAGAGCCAGAAGAGTTCCCAGAAGTCACCTACTACAGGACAGGCCTAACAAAGAAAATAACAGAACGCCACTAGCCGTCACCTTCAGCCCCCAACTAAAACCCCTCCAACGCATTATTAAGGATCTACAACCTATCCTGAAGGATGACCCAACACTCTCACAAATCTTGGGAGACAGGCCAGTCCTTGCCTACAGACAGCCCCCCAACCTGAAGCAAATACTCACCAGCAACCACGTACCACACAACAGAACCACTAACCCAGGAACCTATCCTTGCAACAAAGCCCGTTGCCAACTGTGCCCACATATGTATTCAGGGCACACCATCACAGGGCCTAATAACATCAGCCACACTATCAGAGGCTCGTTCACCTGCACATCCACCAATGTGATATATGCCACCATGTTCCAGCAGTGCCCCTCTGCCATGTACATTGGTCAAACTGGACAGTCTCTACGTAAAAGAATAAATGGACATAAATCAGATGTCAAGAATTATAACATTCATAAACCAGTCGGAGAACACTTCAATCTCTCTGGTTACGCGATTACAGACATGAAAGTTGCGATATTACAACAGAAAAACTTCAAATCCAGACTCCAGCGAGAGACTGTTGAATTGGAATTCATTTGCAAATTGGATACAATTAATTTAGGTTACCTTGCATAATGACTTAGCCACTCCCAGTCTCTATTCAAGCCTATTTCCCCTTGTTTTTTCGTACTCCCCCCCACCCCCCCCCCGGACGTTCTTGTTAAACCCTGGATTTGTGCTGGAAATGGCCCACCCTGATTATCATACAGATTGTAAGGAGAGTGATCACTTTAGATAAGCTGTTACCAGCAGGAGAGTGGGGTGGGGAGAGAGAGAACCTTTTGTAGTGGTAAACACCCATTTTTTCATGGTTTGTGTGTATAAAAAGATCTTCTGTACTTTCCACAGTATGCATCTGATGAAGTGAGCTGTAGCTCACGAAAGCTGATGCTCAAATGAATTGGTAGTCTCTAAGGTGCCACAAGTACGTCTTTTCTTTTAACATTTTTATGTAAGTTTTAGCCTAGCAGCAAATAACTTTTTTTTTATCTAATTTTTAAAAAGTACCTTAAAAATGTAAGAGTTTGGGTATGTGTAACTTCCTCCTTTGACTTTCCATGGGCTTTGGGGTATAGGATGCTTGTTTTCCAATCATATAGTAGAAAAGAAGTTTTGTGTTGTAAAAAGATTGGGAAACCGTTTACTTCATAATATCTCATTGCTTCTGTCATTTGGAGGGGAAAAATGCATCAAAGATTTTAAAAACTACTTCAGTCTCAGTAACTTCTGTATTTTCAACCCCTTGTTTTCTTTTCCTGGTCTTCGCCTCATTGTTTATTGCTGTTGAATGCTGTCTCTCATCTGTATTTTAAATTGCAAGCACTTTGGGGCAGAGACTTTTTAAAATCAACTTGGTGCCTAGCATACTTTTGAGTGTGGTATAAATAATATCATCAGTGAATACCATATTGAGGCAAAAGATGGAGAGGTTATGGTTCTGAGGGTTCAATGATCCATGAGCCAAGGTAGATTTTGATGATAGGAAAGAACGTTGTTATGGTCTGTTAAGTCGAAAATCCTCTTCAGTGCCTTAAGACATATGTACATAGTAGCCCATAAACGCTTTGAGGAGTCTGAATATTTTTTTGTTAGCTGCTTGCTTCACTATCATATAACTTCTTCTGTTAGTTTGTGTCAGACAGTAAGACAGGTTCCAATTAAAGAGCCAGGTAAAATGAAAGTTTCAATCTCATGAACAGTTAACAAATCAAGAAACTGTACATAGTCACAAGTAGCAAACAGACTATTGTTTTGTCTATTGCTAAGCAGCCGCAATCTTGTCATATTCAAATGTTCGTAAAAAGAAATAGGGCTCAGGGGAGGTGGATGGCTTTTATGTATAAGTTCTGTGACCACATAAACCAATTGCATTGTGAGCTCTAACACAGTTCTGAGTTGTAACTAATTCAAAACTAACATTCTTGTTCCTTTTATATTCCTTTCTGATTTTTTTTTTTATTTAAATGGGAAAATCTTGGATCTGAAGTGGAAGCCAAGGTGAGTTTAAGTATTAAGTGCTGTGCATTCTGTTTAACAGTTCCTGTTGACTTCAGTTAATCATTTTTAAAGTTTTGCCTAAAAGCAGTATGGTAACTATTATAATTTATTTATTTAGTGCTTTATGTGTACATGGGTCAAGATTTTAGAAAGTGGCTTATGCTTTTGGGTGGTCAATTGGAGACACCTTAAAGGGGCCTTATCTTCAGACGAGAGTTATATAGCTTAGAAAAGAGGAGAGAGTCTTTAAAGTCACTCATTTGTGCAGGCCTCACCTCATGGTTGCCCTTCTCTGGACTTTTTCATTCTCTACTATATCTGTCTTGAGGTGAAGTGACCAGAATTGGACACTATGCTGTATATGAGAAATTTTTCCTATGGCGCATCATTATTATAATTTCCTGGTTTTTTTGTTTTTGTTTTTTTTAAATGCCCATCCTATGTGTTTTTTTAACACATCTTGCAGTCTGGGCAGGTTTTTTATTTCCTATTACTTCCCCACTCCTTGCTGTACTCTTCCTTCTCTTTACTCTCCTGATGAGGGTTCTCTTGTGTAAAGAGAGGGCTAGGAAATCCCAATCCTCTTCACTTCCAAAGGGATTCCCCTTTCTGGGTTGAAGTAGAGTTGTTAGAAAGAGAGCACGGATTCCTCCATAGTGTGTAACTAGTTCCTTTATTTTACATCTTACAGATGAAATTCCACTTAGTCGTCCAAAAAGAAAGAAGCCCAAAGGAAAAAATGCACTGGGTAAGAAGCTTCCAGGAGTGAAAGATATACTTGGAATGCTGGAGGAACTCTGTACTGTAGCTGATCTCCTGACAAATGCATCCTTGGATTTCATACCTACCATTCCTAACAGGGCAACTTTTAGTCTTCCTGGGTCGTTCATCTTCATTGGTTATTGTCACAGTTCAAAGCAACTGCACTTGTATTTCCCCCTCATGGTCCAACAAGGGGACCCACTTTTAGGCTTCTGACTCCCCAGCCATCACCCCTCTTGGGCTGAAACCTGTCTGTCTCTTCCTCCTGACTGGGGTTTTTCTGGGCTGCAAAGTTCTCTCCTTACACTGCAAATTCCCCAGCAAATCAGATTGCCTAAGCAGGCCTGCTTTGCTCTCTCCTCAGAGGCTATAAACATATAAGCAAGCACCTATGTTCTTATGGTGAAAGCATCACAGAGAAAACGTATTAAGAAAAATAAAATAACTTACACACATGGTGGTAAACTTACCAGAGATCACCCCAAACTCCAGCAACGGCTCTGGGACATGATCAGTTCTTTAAATCCCACTATGGGGTTTTTCTGTGGTTACAAGTTCTTAACAGCTATTCCCTCAGAACAAGCACCCCTATGCATTGGCTAGCCTTTCCTTTATTTAGCTTGAGTCTTTGATCTTCAGAAACTATGAATAGGTAATCAATGAGACAGTGGTTCTCTTCTCAGGGTGTAGCTTCAAAAGGTTAGGTGCTGATGTGGCCATTTGCATTCCCTTTCCCCCATATATTTCCCACTTAACCCATTTAACTTTGTTGGTCCTGAAAGTTCCTTCTTTTCTGTTACGTTGTTTAAGATAGTCCCTTGAAGCACCTAATGTTTCCCAGGGTTTACGTTGTCCATGTCTCTCCCCTGGAAAAGTTAGATACAATCCCACAAAAAGAAAAGGAGTACTTGTGGCACCTTAGAGACTAACCAATTTATTTGAGCATGAGCTTTCGTGAGCTACAGCTCACTTCATCAGATGTTCATCACATCTGATGAAGTGAGCTGTAGCTCACGAAAGCTCATGCTCAAATAAATTGGTTAGTCTCTAAGGTGCCACAAGTACTCCTTTTCTTTTTGCGAATACAGACTAACACGGCTGTTCCTCTGAATACAATCCCACAATAATACATAAACTAGCATTTATAATACAATGGACTCCAAAGCTATTTAAATATAATTCAATAAGATCTCCCAAAGATATTGTAGGAAATTGCCATATTTGTCACAGTTTTTATACATTGTGATTTTTTTTCTTCTGAAGCGGTATGAGTTAGAATTATAGTCTTAATACTAAAGTCATTGGGCTTTTTCCCCTCAATTCTGGTTGCTAATAAAGCAGCAGGTGCTGATACAGCATTGACAAATTCCTTGAATTTTTTTCTTGCTATTTTTTCCCTTCCTGGTTACCTCAGTTGCTTGGGTCCTTGAGACTAGGCAGTTATCCACAGCCATGAAATGCTTTGCAAACTGATGATTTTACTAAGTGCTCTGAATTCTGAATTGACTCAACACAAATCCAAGTAAATACTACTATGCCTGTTTCTGTAATAGATTTAAATATTGTCAGGTATTCTTTAACATCTCACAGAGGAGATGGATTGTTCACAAAGTGTGTTCCACATGAATTCAACCTAGTAGCTAAACAGAGAAAGAGGAAATACAAAGTGCAGATATGCCCTGGTTGCCTTCCCAGGAAGGCTCACCCTACCATTTAACTGAATTTTTTTTCTTTTATTCTGCTTTTCAGAGGGTATCGTTCATGCAGCTGTCCGTCGGCCATCTGAGAGTAGCGAGCCTCTAACTCCTGAGGTTCAGGATGCTCCACCTCAGAGGAAACGCAAGAAGAAGAGAATGCCTCCCGGTATGTGGAGACTGACAGAAAGGATGGAAGATGGAATTAGGCTTGGCAGCATAAAATCTTGCGAGCCCACTTCTTAAATTTCTATTTCTTAAGCCATTAGAATAAGTGCATCTGCATTGTTTACAGGCCAAAGTCATCTCTAGCGTAAATCCTTGGAGTCTGTGAAAATTCACGTCAATGAAGCAGTAGGCTGAGAAATGCAACACTCAAGCGTCATGCAATTCTAGATGTTCAGGTTTCTACTGGAGTGATAACTCTTCTGTCTTGCCGTCTATGTAGTATTCTGCCATCTATGTAGTATCTTCCGTTTATCTTGTTAAATATGAGCCATATTTTATTACTGCTGCTAGGTTTTGTAATCTACACCATAAAATATATGCATATATAATGTGAATTGGGGCCAAATCAGTGTTCCAGTAGAAATTTACATTTTGGAATTTCCTGAGTTTTGAATGTTTACTTTTCCAGGGTTTCATTATTGCTAGTTTTTTAATTTGAATATTTTCTGATTTTAACAATAGAATAAATTAGAGCAATCTTGTAATATTTTTTAGGATATTGTATTATTCAAGTATCTATTTTCAGTCCAAAAGCAAACACGTTGAGGTGTCTGCATCTGCTAAAAGATTTAAAGACCAGTGGTGGGCTGATTGTATGTGATCATAAGAAAATAATGTAAGAACTTTGATTATTTCTTAGAGTGAAAAATAGAAAATTGCTTTTCCAATGCTGATCCCAGATTTAATATTTTTAATGAGACAAACAGCACACCAGTCTTTGCTGTGAAAGTTGCCTTTGAAACACTTAGAAGTGTTACTTTGAAAACATGTAACGCTTTAGTTTACTGGCACCATACTGCCGCACACAATCACAATTCCTAAATTGTTAAAAGTATATTAAAAGATAAATAGGTTAAAAATTGTCACAAGATTAATGGAAACATCAAATTTTGGAAATGGAGAATTATAGATGATCCTCTGTTAGCATTTTGTATTAACTGAAACTCAGAACATGGTGCTTTTTGTTCACAGTGAATGCATTATAGTTATACAAATGTCTCAGTGCATATGTTTCCTACTCTGTACTAGCCTGCAGATAGGTTATTTTTGCGGTTTATTTTAAATCTTCAGAGTCTGAGACCTCTTTCACCCAGCAGAATGTTCCCAACACATCCTTTTTTCATACTGGAAATGGCATGGATCCCCAGCCCTCTGAAGAAACAGTGATTCGTAAACATCGGAAAAAAACAAAGTGAGAATTTCTGAGGTGCATTATAATTCTTGTCACAGAATACTTATGATAATGTGTTAATATGTGTTAGTATTTAAGGCCCTGATCCTGCAAAGACATGATGTCTCTGGAGCTACTCAGATTGTGCGTGTGCGGAAATGTACGTGTGCATGTGTGGAAATCAGATTGTGCCTGTTCGTGTGCGGAAAGGTAAGCGTGTGTGGAAATCTTTGCAGGGTCAGGGATTAACTTTGTTTTTTTTAATCCGTGGTCACAGTGAATGCTTAGAATTTAGTATTAAGAAATATTGAGGTAGATTTTGGCAATTTATTAATTTAAACATTCTTCAAATCTACACTACAATTGTGAGCATGATAGTATAAATACAGTACTTAAATCACAGAACTTAAAAAATAAATCAGAATATGTAACATAGGCCATATCTGCACTAGAGTGCTTTAATGGTATAGGAATACCACTATTGCACTGGCAAAAGTGATCTTAGTGTGGATTCAGCAATACCTGCAAAGCTGTGCTTTGTACTGGTATCGTGAAACCACCTCCCACAAATAAAAGAAGCTATACCAGTAAAAGTGTGGCTAGGGACTTCAGCTAGCACAATTATTGCAGTCAGGGATCACACCTCTTCACACCCTTGACTGACATAGCTGTCTGTGCTGGTAGGAGTCTGTAGTGTAGATAGAACCTAATCATTTGATTTCTGCTTTTCTTTAACTTTCACTCTTATTTCTTAACTTTGTCAGAACATTACTTTTGCTCTTTATTTTGTCTCCACTTTCCTTCAGCTTCTGAATGTTGCTCCTTTAAAACACTTTTACTTCTCTTCCTGCCTAAGTATTTCAGTTTATTTAGCTTTTTTCTTTAACTTATTTCTTCTGCATTCTTTCTATTACAATAATCTTTTCATGTCTGGTTTGTCATAAAACAAAAGTAAAATATTAAAACAGTTATTGGGGGTTTGCTTGATGATGGTGATTTTATACTTCCATAAAGAAGAATTTTAGGCCCTAATCCTACAAGCAGTTGCACTCAGAAGAAACTTTATATACGTGAGTATTCCATACTATTCAAACCAGTAAAATTAGGCATGTACTTAAGTGTTTACAGTATTAGAGCATTAGTCTTTAAAGCTTTTGACCTTGTTCTTTTTCTCTCCACATATCCTGTGATGATAGGAAGACTCGGCCAGCAGAAATACGCTGCTCCAATGAACTGGGAGTGGAGGAAGAGGACATTATTGAAGATGAACAAACAAAAAGTCCAGATCAGCAGCTTGTGTTTGCTGCTCCCACTGGTGCTAGCCAGCCTGTGAGCAAGGTGTTTGTTGAAAAAAATCGTAAGTAATTTCTTATTCCTTTAACTTCAGACATTTTAATAATAATGAAAAAGTTAATGCTGTCCTGTTAAAAAAGAGAAATTGTCCAAATGTATTTTTCTGCAGAAATAGTTACAACATTAAAACCGCCTGAGCATGTGGCCTTATGTATATTTTTAAAGTTATCAAATTTCTGCATATGTGTAATTTGACTTAAAATATATCATTGTGTACTCCTGAAGTAGAGCATTCTTTCTGAAAATGTCACGCTCCCCAAAGTTAAATTAATGGAAAGCAAGAATTACTCTTGCACTCATCTTGACGCGAGTCCTGCGAGCACTAGTTTTTTAATCACAGAGTTAACTGATTCCCCGGCTCAGAGCAAGTCTAGCTGACGGAGCTTTATCTAACTAGTATTTTCAGTGTTGCTACCCTGGTGAGAAATTTTAGGGAAAACATACTATAGGAAGGCCCGTATGTTCATATACTTTTTGAATACAAAGGAAGAGGCATGAAAGAGGTTTTTATGGGAGACAAAATGGGATGCCAAAGCATTTTTCTTTTAAGTGAAAACTGTAGTTGCTCTGAAGCTATTATTGAAACCAGGTATGTTTTGGGGTCTTGGTAACAGTTAGGGAACATAAGAGCCAAAATGTTTTAAAGTCTTCCTCCCTGTGCAGCACTCAGTATTGCAAGGACTTCATCCTGATTGAGATTTCTAAAGTCTGATCTGCACTAGAAGGTTTTACTGGCAAAACTGTATTCAGCATAGCTCTGCATGCATCCACACTAAAAACTGAGTCCAGCCAACAAACCCCTGAACTTTTGCTGGCAAAATTAAACCAGTTCACCAAGTGACATAACGCCTCTATCAGTATAGTTGTGCAATCAAATTGCCTGTGAGGAGACAGAAATACCTGTACCAGCAAATGCAGTCCTCCAGCAACAAGCCCACAGTGCAGCTGTCCTAGCAGCAGTGACCTCTCTGGTCAACTTTTTGAACTCTGCTGCACAGGGCTTGCAGTGACTGGAAGCCTGTCTCCCATTTAAATTTGCCAGCATGTTTTGGAAATACTTAACCTGCCTGCCACCTTTGCAAGCGCTCTTGTACCAGCATGATTCCAGCTAAACCTTATGCTGCTACCTGGTCCAGGAAAGAGGTCCTGGATTTCTTCAGTCTGTGAAGTGGATGGAGTTGTACAGCCACAGGAATCAAGATGTATATACTGATATTGCAAAGGAGATTCAGAAGCAGGGGGACACAGCAAGGATGAGGGCCTATGCCAGGCAAAGGTGAAGGAGCTGCAGTAGGCTTACAGAAGAAAAAGGAAGGCAACAAAAAGTCTGGCACTTCCCCTCAAGAGTCATGGATTTTTTAATAAAAGTGCATTCTTGTTGGTTGTTATAACCTTAATACATATTCTTCACAACTCAGAGATAGATGTAGGTTTCATTTTTAGAAGGTACACACTATACATTTTTAAAGTGATTTATTTTGAAAACTTTTCAGATTAGTTTTACAGCTATATCAGAAAATGAATGATTGTTTTTTTCATTTACCACATGTAATTGAAGCAGATAGTTCACCTCCCAATGACTTCATAAATATCTCCAGTTCAACAGATTAATCATTAATATTTGGAGGATTTTCTTGCCATGCTGTATTAGGAGGAGAACATCACCAGACAGATGTTTAAATTGTTTTATTTAACTAAAACAACAACGTTATGTATTCTGGATTGTTTTCTTCAACAGCAAACTTATAATATTTTAACAAAACAAACATATGAATTTTTGAATTTAGTTAAACATTCAAGTTTTTTAAAACAGGTTTGTTTTTGTTAAAATTGTGTTAACTAAAATAGTTAAATGAAATATTTTAAAAACAAAAACTAAACTGATTATGTCAGCCAGGTCAACATGAGAAACTTTAAATAAAGCTTCTACAGCTTACTCAGTCATCTTCACCTTCATTTTCCTGTTTATTCATAATCTAGAAAAGAAAAACAAGCTTTCTTGCTTTTTCAGGTCCCAAATGATTTCTCAATTTGGAATGAATTAGTCCAAAGGAAGAAAATATTCTTTCTACATGGGCAGTAGAAGCTACTGCTGTTAAAAGTGAGATTATCACTTCAACAGTCTCTGAATCCAGGTTCTTAAGCGACTTCCACCAGTTCACTGGTGTGACTTTCTTTAAAACATCATCAGCAAACATATATTTCTTGAATGGTTCTTATTCCCAACCTGGGTCTCTCTTGCGGCCTGTTGCCATTATAGGTTTTCTCTTCTAGTGAGAGAATGGTATGGTAGATCTCAAATCAATGAAGGCTACACTCAGAAAGACCTCAAGACTTCTGGAATATGCTGCTCAAATAGTTTCACTTTTGTTTCTACTGCCTGTCCCTCCCTTCTCACATTTATCTCCAGATTTCATCTCCATGTCCAGATCTGTTCTGCTCCCAACAATCTTCTATTCATTGAACTTTATGAAACTTTGCACTTTTAGAGAGAGGTAAGGGATTGACTGTGTACACAAATTTGCAGAGGGACAATAGGGTTGAGGTCTGTTATTTCTCACCTCTATATATTTATTTATTTATTTTATTTAAAAACATTTTTGCTGTTAACAAGCATGTTATCTCTGGCAACACAAATCCACAGTTTGAGAACTGCAAAACAAAGCATCTCTGATGGTATCTTCTAGACTAAGCACTGGGTCCCATTGGGTAGATAAAAAGATTAACCTAAATAATCTATACAGAAGCCCCTGGAACCCCATAAGATTGGGTCCCTATTTCATGAACTATTGAAACTCATTTACAAAATTTTTCTTAACCATTCCATGAATATATTGTTTCATACTATAGAATTAGAATTTGTAATCCCTATTCCATGATGAGATACATAGCTCAAAGATATCATAATTAAAACTATCTTTAGATAGGTTTTTTCCTCTAAAAGCATTTTATCAAAAAAATTGGATTTAAATAAAAAAAATCTTTTTTTTTTATTTAAAAAATAATTCATTGATATTTATCCACCTTGTGTGGAGCTCAATGCCATGTAGAGCATCCACAAGCAACCCACCAGTGACGGAGGGCACTTTGCAAGTTCCAGAGCAGGGCACCCTGGAACTGCAGACCAAGTAGGAGCTTGCTGATGAGGGGGATGTGGATGATGCAAGTCTGACACCAGGACCTCTTTGAGACCCAGCTGAACCTAGAGAGAGAACTAATTATTGAAGAAGGGGGCAACCTGTAGGTGTAATTTACTGTCCCTGTTAATGCATGCCATTTTTTTACTTTCTCCAGGGCCCACTGGGGAGGGGAGGTCACCGTCTTCTCCCCCGTCAAATTGGCAGCCGACTGTGCATGGGCAGGGAGCAAAGGAATTCTGTTTTAAAATAGCCAGTTTATTTCCAGGGTGTGAACTGGCAGTAGTAAGTAATACAATCAGAGAATCGGGTTAAAGCACCCAAAACCATTTCCAAATATATACTTTTGCCAGTACTTTCGCTGGCAATGCTTGACAATAACCAAGTACAATTCAATATGTTACAGACAGTAAACATACTTGCACTGACTGTAAGCTACACACAACTCGATAAGTGAGCATTCATTCTACTGTATGTGATTTTGCAGAAAATCCGTTGTAAACTGATTGGATGCAGGATTTCAACTCCAAATCATATTACTTGCATCTAGTTCAGGAAAGATAAAAGATAGATAAAGAGATAAAAACAGTGTGTGGGTAGCTTTGGGAGGGGAAGGAGGGTTTTGATATGGACAGGTTCACTTGTTCTCCAGGAGTCCCGGGGGCCTTCTGCCACTTGCGGAGAAGACCATTTATGTTTAGTTTTCTGGTCCCCTGTAACAAGTGAGTAGTTCTGGACATTTCTAGGTGAGGAACATTTCTCTCACCCTGGTAGGATACCTTCCCATAGTACTCTGCCAGGACGTCTTGGGGATCATCATTGTTTATGTACTCAGCTGTAAGATAGGAGCAGGGGACAGAAGCAGGATATGTGTTCCATCTACTACCCCACCACAGTTAGGGAAGAATCCATCTATTATTTCCTTAAGCATTGCTCAGAGTCCCAATCCTGTACAGCTGGACATGCTTAATGGCCTTGCACACCTGGATGATGACCATCCCAACTGTTGATTTTCCAACCCTGAACTGATTGTCTACTGACAGATAGCAGTCCAGGATTACAAGCTTCCAGAAAGTGATTGCTATCTGTTTCTCCACTATTAAAGCAGCTCTCATTCTGGAGTGTCTGCTACAGGACTGAGGTGAGCTCAGAACACAAGTCCAGGAATGGGACCTTCTGCATCCAAAAGTTCTGTAGGTCATCCCAGGTTTGCATCACAATCTGGTCCCATCACTCGGTGCCAAGAACCACCGCTCCTCTGTGTGCAGCTAGTCAATGAATATCTGAAGCAGCTGGTTGCTTTCATTCACTGTCTGTATCATCATCCACTCCTCAGTATCCCCTCTACATGATGGGTTACCAAGATTCCACAAATATAAAAGAAACACTTACCTTGTCCTAAAATAGATGAAAGATTCTTTGGTCTGTGCAGCATCTATGTTTTTGGACTGCAAGAAATGGAGGGATTTAAAAACAGCGTGAAAAAGTGGATTATGGGTTTGATCCCAAACTCCCACAGTTCCCAGAGAGGAGTGATGATATCCCACAATATAATGCAAAAATTTCCTGGATGTTAGTGTGCCTGATGGTGGTATGGGAGACACTGGATGCCTGCTTACAATGTAGCATGTCCTTTGCTGATACAACTTGATTCTGAGGACACACTGTAGTGGTACACATGTAGACGCATTCTACTGAAATAGCTATGTTGGTAGCAGAATGTCAGTAAAACTTCCTAGTATAGACAAGGGGCAAAGTATTACTGCAATACAAATAATAGGAAGTAATAGTAATCTCCATGATTCAGTAAAGATTTTCTTTTTAGGGCGTTTCCAGGCAGCTGACCGCACAGAATTGGTTAAAACCACAGAAAACATTGATGTATTTTTGGATGTAAAGGCTTTATGGACCACCAGGGATGTGGCACTCTCAGTGCACCGTGGTTTCAGGTATCTGATAGTCTCTTTTCTTTCTTCAAAATATTGACCTGTTGTGTGAAATCCATTTCTTTTTCTCTCTGGCTAGGGAATGCTTTTGAAGTGAACGCCTTCTGTCTATCTTGTAGATGTCTCTTTTAGTCTCTTTGGACACACTCAACGAACAATGGATGAGTGCAGAACTGAATAACTGCAAGCTTTTCTGTTGATGGACTATGCCTAAAGCTTCTCAGCACTCTAGCAAATTATAGTATAGTTTGTTTTGTTTTGCCTGAGAGTGCCTGCTTCTGAGGGGACAGGGAAAAAGTTGCAGTTTTGCAGGCAGAATTTAAACTGTAGGAGAGACTGTAAATGTATCATGTATAATTTTAGAAAATAACAGATTTTTAGTTTGAATGAAATACAGAAGCTGTTTTTAGTGTACCATTTGTAGAAAAAAGGCAAATGGACTAGCCTGAAGAGAGGTTGTAACAGCCAAAGTGAAATGTAATGATAAACAGCAGTGTAATGAGCTAGTATGAGGTGATTAGTGATTGTGTTAGGTCCAGTCTTATTTAACGTCGTCAGAAATGATCTTGAAGAAGTAATAAATTCACTGAAATTCACAGATGAAACTAAAGTGGAAAGAGGTGCAAATGTTCGTGAGGACAGAAGTAATACCCAGGGACCTACAGAGGAAAGAGATTAAAAATGAGATATATGTAACTACTGTAATGCATCTGGGAAGAAAATATTTGAAAAATACGTAGCTCATGAGGGAAAAACTTGGAAATTAGTAATGCTGAAAAAGAATTAGGAATGAAATTTAAATCAAATTAGGCATGAGTTTGCAATGTGATATAGTAGCAAAAAGGCCCATGTGATTTTTGGTAGTGCAGAGACATTATGATATGGAGCAGGAAAATAATAGCTCTTCTCTATCTGGCTCTGGTATATTTGTACTGTGTGAACATTGTGTTCACTTCTGGGCAATGTGTTAGCAAGGAATTCAGAGAACAGCAGCAAAAATTAACATTGAGCTGGAGAGACTTACTTATAAGGGGGAAAAAAGATACATATAGTTTGGATAAAATACTACTAAAATGGAATTGGGGGGCTACAGCAGGGAGGAGTGCACATAGCTTCTATATTTGAAGAGTATGAACACCAAGTTTGGAGAGGAATTATTTAGAGCACTGCAAAGGAATATAACTAATATAGCTATAGGAGTAATGGGATAGAGAAAAGGCTAAACATCAGTAAAAATTTCCTTAGTAAGACCTCTTAGGCTGTGAAGCAGTCTTTCAAGGGAACAGGTAGAAATGATACATAAGGAACAATCCTCCTGTCCTAGCAGAGGTGGAGTGGATAACCTAATAGGTCTTTTCCATCTTTAGCTTCTATGATTCTATGACAATCTGGACCATGAACTTTTGCTGAGATTACAGCTACTTACAAAAACTCTAACAATCTCTTCTCCATTTAGGGTGATTGGACTCTTTACTCATGGCTTTCTTGCTGGCTATGCTGTGTGGAACATTATTGTAATATACATTCTCGCAGGAAACAAGCTATCCACACTCTCAAACCTGCTAGAGCAGTACAAGGCCTTAGCATATCCTGCTCAGAGTTTCCTTTATTTGTTGTTGGCGATCAGCACAGTTTCAGCCTTTGACAGGTAAAATGTTCATTTGTATAACTTACATAATTTGTATGCCATACATCCCTTTCTAAAGTCATCTAATCACAAAATTTCTTTCTGTGGCACTTTTCTCACTGGTGATAGAACGTACTATAGATTGCTTCATTTGCTGCAGTTCATTTCTGCCTTGCTCTACCTTGACAAAAGAAGATTTATCCTCCATATGTATATATGCCATATATTTTTACATTAAGGGAATGTAGTGGATGCATACACATGTATTTTGCAAAAATAACAGAATGGTAAAGTACTAAAGGAGACAGTTATTTACTGTCTCCCTGTACTGTGTTCAGTGAGCCTTTCTTCCTTGAGTGGATATGTATGTTCCCACTTGTGGTACTTTGTGATAGATCCTTCCTCTTGCGGTGTAAGCTAGAGCGCTTTTGTGCCCGCCGCATCTCCTGTCAGGGTAACTGGTGTTCTGAGGACAAGGCTATATAGGAGAGGAGCATCTTCACCACTTCAGTTGCTTCCAACCATGTGCCTGGTCAGATGTGAAGTACTCCGGTCTCTTTGGAGATTCTTGTTTCTTAGGAATAGTTAGTATTAGCTAATTGTGAAGAGTCTGTGAGTTAGCCCTGATCTACACTACGAGTTTAGGTCGAATTTAGCACCGTTAGGTCGTTTTAACCTTGCACCTGTCCACACGCCAAAGCCATTTTTGTCGACTTACAGGGCTCTTAAAATCGATTTTTGTACTCCTCCCTGACGAGGGGATTAGCGCTAAAATCAACATCGCTGGGTCGAATTTGGGGTAGTGGGATGCAATTTGACGGTATTGGTCTCTGGGAGCTATCCCAGAGTGCTCCATTGTGACCATTCTGGCCAGCACTTTCAACTCAGATACACTAGTCAGATACACAGGAAAAGCCCTGGGAGCTTTTGAATTTCATTTCCTGTTTAGCCAGCATGGCGAGCTCATCGGCACAGGTCACCATGCAGTCCCAGAATCGCAAAAGAGCTCCAGCATGGACTGAATGGGAGGAATTGGATCTGATCGCTTTATGGGGAGACTAATCCGTGCTATCAGAACTCCGTTCCAAAAGACGTAATGCCAATATATATGCCAAAATCTCCAAGGGCAAATGCAAGGTGTTTACAATGCCCACAACTGCAGCGGTGATTGGAGCGGGCTCCCACTTGCAGTGCTATGGTGTATGCACGGGCAATCCAGGAAAAAGGGCGAGAAATGATTGTCTGCCATTGCTCTCACGGATGGAGGGAGGGAATGGTCACTGACGACATGTACCCAAAACCACCCCCGGCTACCTTGTCCGTTATCTCAATTCTTAAAAATTTAATAAAGAAAGAATGCATGGTTTCAAAACAATAGTTACTTTATTTCAAAGGGGGAAGGGTGGTTGTCTTACAGAGAATTAAAATCAACAAAGGGGGTGGGTTTGCATCCAGTAGAAACACACACAACTGTCACACCGTAGCCTAGCCAGTCATGAAACTGGTTTTCAAAGTCTCTGTGATGCGCAGCACGCCTTGCTGTGCTCTTCTAATCGATGTCTGGCTGCTCAAAATCTGATGCCAGGCGATTTGCCTCAATCGACCACCCTGCCATAAACGTCTCCCCCTTACTCTAACAGATATTATGGAGCACACAGCAAGCAGCAATAACAGTGGGAATGTTGGTTGCACTGAGGTCTGACCAACAGCGCCAGCGAGCTTTTAAATGTCCAAAGGCACATTCTGCCACCATTCTGCACTTGCTCAGACTATGATTGAACTGCTCCTTACTACTGTCCAGGCTTCATGAGCCATGGGAGCAAGGGGTAGGCTGGGGTAGGTGCGACCGTGCAGTGCCGCCAGCTGGGAGAGCAGCCTGAGGCATAAGCCTCCGGCTCGCAGGAGATCAGGATAGCAGAGTTGCAGGGGAAGCGGTGGAGAGAGCAAATCACTGTTGATGAGGACAGCTAGCAGTCCTACTGCACAGTCCGCTGCAGAGTTGCAGCAGATCAGGATAGCAGAGTTGCAGCGGAAGCGGTAGAGCCGTTCACCATTGATGCGAAGGCACCCAGGAGCTGCTGCTGTGTGGCCAAAGCAAAAGAGCAAGAGCCCTGGACTTGTTACATGTGGAATGTACGGCTGCAAGATTCTTCACCAGCAACAAAGGACAGGAATATGATGAACCTAAAATCTAAAAAGGCCCGCACATTTCCCAGAGTTGCTATCCTTGATAACAGAACATCAATGATTGCAGCGGCTACTTGGATCACAGCAGCCCCCACAGTAGACTGGCCTGCAACAGCAGTGGTGACAGTGAGCTGAGCGGGCTCCAGCTTGCAGTGCTATGGTGTCTGCGCAGTTAACCCAGGAAAAAGGCCACAAAACGATTGTCTGCCATTGCTTTCATGGAGGGAAGGAGGGGCGACTGACGACATGCACCCAAAACCACCCGCGACAATGTTTTTGCCCCATCAGGCATTACGAGCTCAGCCAGAATTCCAGTGGGCAGTGGAGACTGTGGGATAGCTACCCACAGTCTCCTGCTCAGAAAGTCGATGCTGGCCACGGTACTGTGGACGCACTATGCCAACTTACTGGGTTTAAGGGGGTGCATGCAATCAACTGTATAAAACCACTTCCAAAAAATGGACTTCTATAAAATCGACGTAATTTCATAGTGTAGACATACCCTTAGTGTTTTTCCGGGTTACGAAGGAAATGAAGAAACAGAGGAAGCCAGGACTCAAGAAGTGCAGTTCCAGCATGGCTGTCTTCCCACTATCCATGCAGTGCCTTAAGTGCCTGGGAGAAGGACTGTCTCTTACAGAGTGTTTTATTTGCCAAACCTTTATTCCCAGAGGCCATAAGAATAGGGAGACTCGCAAGAGCTCCTCTTTCTAAAGGAAGGTATTGAGGCTAGATCCTCTGGACCTGCTAAGGTCTTGGATCCTAGCTCTAAGAGGCCAGTCTCTGCCTCTGTGACCTGAATGGCTTCAAGAAGCTGCAACCCCTGTCGGGGCCTGATTTGGTTCCTGCAGATTCCCTCAGTTAAGCCCCCGAGGCTACAGATGTCCAAAGCAAGTGCCATGTGGTTGGATCTAACTGCCCCTGTCTGGAAGAGAGGTTGAGAGAGAGTTTGGCCACTGGTTGTGTACCTTGTTCATCCCAGCTACCTGGACCTGATGGAATTCCTATGGAACAGAATAGGTTCTGACTTCCACTTCTGGATCCAGGAAGATGGAACTGATGTATAAGAATCTGGACCTTCAGCACCTTTAGTTCAGTCTGTCACAGCGTTGAAGAGAAAGAGGCATAGAGACTAAATGGTCACTGTTAGCAGTGCTGGTTCCTGGGTATCAGAACTGTCCGATCCATCCGATTCTGACAGGGCCTCTACAGTTCCAAAGTGGAGATCTGTTCCAGACCTGCCTTCAGTAGCAAGGAACATGGATTTATTTATAATGTTGGATCTGAGGTTGTCCACATTGTCACATCCGTTGTCAGTTCCTGGCTCCGTTCGGGCTATATCCTCAGTTCTGGAGAGCTGTGTCACCATGGCAGCCCAAGTTCATCTTCCAGCTCCAGTTCACGTTTTACTTCTGAGTGTGAAACACAAGTCATTCAAAAAGAGGCACGTTATCCTGGTTCCAAGATCTTCTCCCTTGTCTCTTGTTAGGAAGGAGTGATCAGAAGATGCTGCTGGTCTTTTCCCTGGAACACCTTATGCTGCTTCCTCCTGGGACCCCGTACAGGGTCTCCACAAAGAGCTGGATCTCCATACTTCTCTCTGGATCTGCTGTTATCCATGGTGCATTCTGTTTCAGATCTAGACCTGGATCCTTTCCAGGAGGAAGATAGATTAAAAATGCAGAGACTTGTGCCTCTCCTTGTATCACCCTCTGGATCACCTCCTGCAGTCAGAAAAACTAAAGAACATGAGATCGACTGCCTGCTCTTTGGGTATGATTTCCCATGCTAGGAGTAGACCCTCTACTCCTTCTTTCCGGTACCAGAGACAGCTCTACCAAGTCTTCGTGGTTTTACTTTTGTCAGGTCAGAGACATGAAAAATATCAGCAGTCTGCAGCATTCCAGAGCCAGCATAATAAGAGGCCTTTTTCAGCCCGAGGTCTAAATCTGAACAATCCACTTCCTCATCAGCACCTTCATCATGAAACAAGCCTTAATTTTGACAGGATGATTGAAATCAAGAACCAGCCAGTCAGAACCAATCAGCCCCCTTCTTTGGAAAGAGACTAGCTCACTTTATTAACACATGAAGACAAATTATGTTGAATGAATGGGTTTTAGAGATTATGGAAAGGGGCTGTGTCATACAATTCAAAAGATTGATCATCATCCTCCATTACCCCCATACCCATCACTCTTCAGGGACCTCTCTCACAAGGGTGGTATTCTTGCAGAAATAGAAAAATTACTTTGGGTGGGACCAGTTGTGGAGGTCCCCGAATACTGGAGAGGGGGAGAGTCATGGCTGCTATTCCCATTACTTTGTGGTGTGGAAGAAGGATGGGGGGCGGTATTTCATCCGATACGAGACTCGAGTGACTTGAACAAGCACATTTGGAAGTTCCAGTTCCCTATGTTGACATCCCTTCGCTTTCAGTCATGGATTGGTTCACAACTCTTGATTTAAATGACTCATTTTTTCCCTATATCAATTTGTCACGCATTGTAAGTACCTCTGTTTCATGGTGGCCGGATGCCATTTTTAGTACAAGGTGTTTTCTTTTGGCCTCTCCACAGTGCCCAGAATTTTTACAAGATGCCACCCTGTGGTAGAGGCTCATCTGAGGAATGAGGGTATTTTTATTTACCCTTATTTGGATGATTGGCTACTGGAGCTGCTGTATGCAAGGACCTGTTAAGCCATATTGTTTTTACAACTAATCTCTTTTCAGATGTTGGACTTCTTCTCAACCACCCAAAGTCAATTCTCTGTCCTACTGAAAGGATTCCCTTTATAGGCTGTATACCAGACTCTGTGGAAGGGAGGGGTTTTCTACCAGATGAAAGATTTCAGTGGTGTGTCGCTCAAAGAATAAAATTCTTTTTGGGCCTTACGGCAGCCACTACTTATGTGACTCCTTTTGCTTATCTGAGTATGACACCTATGCAGCATTGAATGTCTTGGGTCTACAGAGCAAGTTGGGACAGCCTCCATATGTTGATCATCATACCTCAGAACATTATAGCCTCCCTGAAATGGTGGTCAGTGAGAGCAGTTGTTCAGAGGTATATAGTTCAGTCTCCTAGATCCATCTCTGATAGTCAAGTTGGATGCTTCAAGCAAGGGTTGCGGGGGGTTCATCTTAATCAGCTGACAGTTCAAGGGCATTCCTTTTATCAGGAGACACCCTGCACATCAGTATGTTGGAATTGAGAACTGTTTGGCCCTGAAGTCATTCCTTCTTCACCTATAAGGGAGGGTGGTGCAGGTGGTGATGGACAGTATGTTGGCAATGTGGAACATCAACAAGCATGGGGTGTTCATTCTGCTCTTGTGTGCAGAGACTGTAAATCTATGGTATTGGGGTATCCTTCCCGATGTCTGTCCTGTGGCCTTGCATCTGGCAAGGTAAAATAATGTAGTTACAGATCGACTTAGCAGAGACAGTGCATGAATGGTCCTTAAAGTATCAGTCGGTTCAGACCATGTTCTTCCGCTGGGATCACCCAGATGTGGACGAGTTTGCAATGAGGTCCAACAAAAAGTGTTGCCTCTTCTATTCCAGAGCGGGCAGAGACAGTCTATCTCTGTCAAATGCTTTCCTTCTCCACTGGGGAAAGACTCTAATGTATGCTTCTCCCAAATGATTCTCTTTTCCCTGGTTTCAGAGTAGCAGCCGTGTTAGTCTGTATTCGCAAAAAGAAAAGGAGTACTAGTGGCACCTTAGAGACTAACAAATTTATTTGAGCATAAGCTTTCGTGAGCTATAGCTGAAGCTCACAAAAGCTTATGCTCAAATAAATTTGTTGGTCTCTAAGGTGCCACAAGTACTCCTTTTCTTTTCCCTGGGTTGGCCACATCAACAGTGATTTACCAATCTCCTGCAACTGTACTGCAGAGTCTTTGTGTCTTCCTCTGTCTCCAGACCTGCTGTCTCAGCAGGAGGGAAAGATCTTTTGCCCAGACCTACAGTCTCTTCACCAGATGCTGTGGGTGATTGGACATTCACTCGGTCTGCTCCTGCTTTTCTTTGCTTGTACAGGACATACTAGTTAACTCTAGAAAACAGTCCACTAGAAGCTGTTAGTTTAAATTGGATCAGATTTCAAGCATGGATGAAGGGAAAACCTGATTCCCCTGTATCTGCTTCCATTCCTTGTGTTCTGGAATAATTAATATACTTGAAGTCTTAAGTGTTAACTGATTCATCATTAAAAGTTTATTTGGCAGCCATCTCAGCATATCAGACTTCTAGTTGATGAAAGATCACTGTTTGTTCCGTGAAGGGTTCATGCAGGGTTCATGCACTAGGAAACATTCAGGGCACACCCTGAGTGTTGTGTAGGAGCAGTGCACACACTGCTCCTTCCAAGGACATGAACCATGGGAAGTCGTCCAAAGGACATGAACCGTGGGAAGCCTCCCCAGACTGGGCTCAAGGTCCAAGAGCAAAAAATGTAGTAAATAAAAGCTGGTAAATAAAAATATTAATCAAAGTCATATTATTCCTTTTGCTGTTTCCTTTTGCTGTTAAAGTATGTAATGCGCATAAATAAAAAAAAATTAAAAAAAGGGTAAAAAGCCAACACGGCAGACCAGCCTGCTTGCTTGCTAAAAGCTTTGTTTGTCTTGCATTTAAACCACAACAGTTCCGTGTTTAGTCAAAAGGTTTATCAGATGCATAACACACACACACACCCACCTACCCCCTGGTTAGAGATCCTGTCCCTTCTTGGGATCTAAATTTGGTATTGCCCATGCTGGTAAAATTGCCCTTTGAACCCTTTGCTGAATGTTCTCTGTATCATTTGATCTATCAAGATGGCTTTCATTATCCCCTTCAGAGTGAGAGAATTGAATACCATTTTGGCTGATCCAACTTTCACTTCTTTTCATAAACAGAGGAGTTCTCTGACCTGATCCCAGGCTTTTACTTAAGGTGGTATCTGATTTTCACATCAAGCAGACAATTAATTTGCTGTTTTCCCCTGAGGCCTTGCTCTAATAAAGAGGATGCCAGAAGGACCCTTGCTTATTATATAGATAGAACTAAGAGGTTTTGTAAATTATCAAGATCGTTTGTGTCTTATGCTAAAAATTGAAAGGGTTATATGGTTTCTTTCCAGACTGTATCTCTATGGATTAACGATGTATTGCTGAATGTTACACACTAGCAAAAGTTCCTATACCTGCTTTGATTCTATCATTGTGGCTTCTTCCTTCGCTTGTCTTAGGGAGGTGCCAGTTGCTGAAATTTGCAGAGCTGCTGCCTGGACTTCCAGTAAACATTATGCCTTGGACATGGCCTCTAGGGTAGGCACTGGATTTGGTAAAGCGGTGCTAGTCTATTCAATTAGGACTCTGTTCCACCTCCAGGTCAGTTTTCAGCACTGCCTATCGCTCTATCCCTTAAGAGGGAATATGCAGAACCACGCAAAGAAGAACTTAAGGTTACTTCCTTGTAACCAAGGTTCTTTGAGATTGCTCTGCATATTCACTCTTCCCACCTGACTTTCTCTCTGTCAGAGTCCTTGTTTGTTTGGTTTCTCTGGCTTTGTGGTAGAAGGAACTGAAGTGATGAGGGCACCTTACCCCTATACAGCCTTGTCTTCAGAATGTCAGTAACTGAGAGGAGAGGCATAGGAGGCAGGGCATGAGAATGCTTCTTACACTGCTGGAAGAACTTTCTACCACGAGGTGGCTCAGTACCCGTAAGTGTACATACACAGAGCCATCCTGAAGAAATTTTATTATAAGTAAATGATTTCATTTCTTTATATTTATATAATATATCTGTCCAGGGTTGACTTGGCTAAAGCATCAGTAGCAGTGCGAGGCTTCCTGACCCTGGATCCAGCAGCCATAGCCTCTTTCTGTGAGTATACAGCAGACCATAACATTCAGTAGCAGAAAATTACAGCCTTTATGCATCTTGGCATACGTTTTCAGTGCTGAATTTAAACATGCAATCTACAGTACTGTTAATGGAAATTTCATCCCTAATTGTTCCCTACTTTAAAAAAATTTACATTACTGTATTAAATATTATCACTTCAGTCTGTTAGATAAAAATGGAGGGTCAAAGAGCTGAATGTTTCACTAACTATTTAAAAGTAAAAGTTTGGAATGAGTGGTGGGATTTGTAGTTCTTCTGAATCCTTTTTCTCTTCCTTACCCCTTGTAATGTATTTTTTTCCATTTTGAATGCAGCACATGTACGAAGTAGAACAAGAATAATGACATATCCCTTTGACTTAGCCAGCAGGTGGTTAGTGGCCTTGGTCAGGATGGTAGAATGCAGGGGGCAGAAGGCAGATTTGAGAGATTAAGGAGAGTGCTGGAGAAGAAGACTGGGCAGTGGAAGTGAGCAGCACATTCTATGATTTTGGAGACAGTGGGGTGGAGGGAGAGAGAGAGAGCATTATTAAAAATCATTATTTTGTGACTAGATAGTGTTTTATGTAAAATTAGTGAAAGCTGCACATTTCTTTCCATTTATCCCAGTATACTTTGTTGCTCTCATCTTGTCTCTGAGCCAGCAGATGACAAGTGACAGAATCAACCTCTATACACCACCTTCGGAGAATGGGAGCCTCTGGTAGGAAATCTAAATAGCATTATTTTTTAACATTTTCTTGCCCCTTCTATGACACAGACCATGTAAGAATGTTTAATTAACATTGGTTTAGTGATGTCATGTAGTACACATCTAAGTGTTATAAAAGATTCCCAAAACTAAACCTGTCCTAATATTTTTGCATTTGAGACCTTAAACTGAGCCCTTGATGACTTTGAGAATTGAGGGTGTTTAGCAACTCACAATAGGGCTCACTGTGTCTAATGGTTAAATGTATCCTTTATACACCTTAATTGGCTTTGTCCTCAGGCCCCTGTTTTGGAAGTGACCAAACTGTGAAATGGCACATCACAGAGATGGCACATTTTCTTTCCTGGAGCAGATCAATCTGTGGAGTGCCAGTGTCTTTTTTGGAGGAGATTATCTATTCTCTCTAACAAATTAGGGAAAAGTGCCATAAAAAGACACTAAACAAGAGGCTACTACAGAATTATCGGCCTTTGTGTAGAAAGACCATCGCTTCTTGGAGGGTGGGCCAGTAGTTGAGACAGAATCAAATTTCATGTTCCTAGTCTGTAGTCTTCATGGCTCTCAGAGACAGTCCTTCAACAAGGTGTCATACTCCTTTCTAGGCAGGACAGCTGTCTGGAATGCAGCCCTTAGGGAAGTTCAGACAAGTGTTCAACACAAAGTAAAAACAGAATTGGTAATTTGATATAGACATATCCCACTCTGTCACAGTCATAATTAAAAGTTTGTCTCCTCTGCAAATTTTACTACCTCACTACTCATTCCCCTTTCCAGATCATTAATAAATATATTAAACAACACTGGGTCTAATATGGAACCTTGAGGCCCCCTGTTGTTAACCTTTTGCCAGGATGACAATTGACCATTTAATCCTGCTCCTTTATTTTCTGTCTCCCAGCTAGGGAAGTGGGTTAGTGATGAAATCTAACTTGAACACTCACTCCATGCTAAGTAGTGGGGCTTCTCAGTTGCATCATAGCCTTTGGTATTCACTCTCCTCTACAGCCCGTCAGATCCCAAAACCTTTAGAGCAGGGGTGGCCAACCTATGGCTCCAGAGCCACATGCGGCTCTTCAGAAGTTAATATGTGGCTCCTTGTATAGGCACCGACTCCGGGGCTGGAGCTACAGGTGCCAACTTTCCAGTGTGCTGGGGGGTGCTCATTGCTCAACCCCTTGCTCTGCCACAGGCCCAGCCCCCAGTCCACCCCTTCCCACCCCGTCTCCTGAGCCTGCCATGCCCTCTTCCCTCCTGCATGCCATGAAACAGCTGATCAGGGAGGTGTGGGGAGGGCTGCTGGTGGGTGGGAGGTGCTGGGAGCAGGGGCAAGGGAACTGATGGATGGGGGCAGCTGACATATTTCTGTGGCTCTTTTTGTACATTGGTAAATTCTGGCTCCTTCTCAGGCTCAGGTTGGCCACCCCTGCTTTAGAGCATGAGGTGAGAAACATTTGTTGTTCAGTATTTGATTTTGTTTTTGTTTGGTGTTTTTAATTTCTCCAGTTAAAGCATCTAGCTGCCAGAGTGCTACATGGTAGAAGTTGTTAAAATAATAATATATACACACCAGGAAAAGCCTCACTATCTTCACCCTAATAAGTATCTAATGCTTTTCTCAGGACTGCAGGTGCAGAGGAACAGATTCTTCAGCCATGGATTGTGGTGAATCTGGTGGTGGCCCTTCTAGTTGGGCTATCGTGGCTCTTCTTATCTTACCGACCAGAGCTAGATCACAGTGAAGGTATGGAACATTAAGCCTAGAGGAAAGTTGGAGACTGCTATGTTCCTTTGGCCCTCCCAGATCTACTCTGTTCTGTGTTCAGAACTGGTCCTTAGAAATGTATCAGTGCTATAGTTAAGGATAAAATAGCATTATAATTCTATTATAATCCTTTTTTCTCCTCCTCTCTCTCTCTCCCTCTGAATACTCAGAACTTTCCAAAGAATTCACTTCTTGGAATTAAATTGTCCTTTGTTGTTCTCTTCTGATTATTTTTTTTTAAATTTGAGGAAATAATACTGTCATTTTTGAATGCTGTAGGATGGAATTTTTCCCCCTGTGTGTGTTAAACAAACAAGGAAACCTAACCAGTAATTTGTCCTGGCTAACGCAAAATAAGATGACTTTTGAAATATGAGGGAGGGAAGGAGGGAAGCATGACTTTGATTTTAAAAAAGTTCAAACCATTTGAAAATTATGTACTCTGCTTATATATTAGAAGACTATATATTATGTTTTAAAGTGCACATTTCATGAATGACGTTTGTTGAATGTATGTACAATACTGCTTGGGCAGCAAATTCTTTTTAACAGACCAGAAAAGCAGGCGTAGTCCTTACCTAGACCTTCCTACACCGTCAAACTCCCCCTGTCCAGTGATACAGGCCCATTAATCTCCCTCACACAGCAATAGTGCGTCATTTATTATGTTATGATTGAATTACTTATTCAGTTCAAATTTTGCAGGCTTTGAATGTACTGGGTCCTCCAGAGCTCAGGGACAGTGCATAGTCCCCTTGTCTGTTTGGTGCAGAGCCTGGATGCTGCTCTGTTATCTCGGAATGGGGCTAGTGCCCTTTGGTGTCAGGATCAGGAACTAAAAGGTTGCTTAATGCTACCTTTGCCACTCCTCCCAGACTTGTACAGAGCACAGCTTAGCCAGTCCAGTGAACCTACAGTGAATATGTAGGTTGCTTGGGTTTCAATCACATGTCAACTGATGTCACCAAAAAAATCCCCTTTGATAGTATTTTGTAGATTTATGGAGCTTTAAAATATTTCTTCAAGCTGCTTTACAACATTTAACAACTTTTTATATCTCAGTTCCCTGCTGTCCCCTACTCCCTTTCCTGGTGTCATTCATACGTGTTGGGAGGGGAGTTGAAATTCAAAAATCCAGCTGGATTTTTAAATCTTTGGACTGCAAGCAATATATAATAGTATTATTGAAAAGAGCCTTAGAAATGGGGAAGCTGAGACACAAAGAGGTGAAATTGACTTTCCCAAGGTGAGCCGATGGCATGGTCTGGCCCAGAACTCCTCCGTGTTTCCGGGCGCTAACCACTGACTAGAGGACAGTGCCTTAAAAGTTTTGAGAGAGAAATTCTGAGAAGGTTCATCTCAGGACTATCTTAAACAGACTGAAGGAAACTCAAAACTATTCAAAAACAGTCTAACAAGCTCATACTTCATTGAGTAAAAAAAAAATCGCCATCTGAAACAGCATATGGAGGTCATCAGCAAATGTGGTGGATCCAGCTATATGCTGAAGTATATTTTTTTCCTCAGCTAAATGTGCTGCCAGCTAGATAAAAATTGATAATATTCTAAATTGAATTCTGCTTTCTGATTGTAATGTAATTTTAAAAACTTTCTAATGTTGACTTGTCTGGTTAGTTTATTTTGCTGTTTGTATTTTTGATAATGTCACTAGTCCAAATGGAGGATACTGCTGTGTGGGGGTTTGCTGGCATTGAACATTCCTCATCGTACTAAGGCTTTTAGTACAATGGCAGCTTGGTGGGGACAGGGATGTCGCTTGCCATTATCAAGGTGTTGGTATTATTACTTAGAAGACAACTCAAAGAGGAAGTTTGGAGAAAAGCAGGAGAAAATATTCAGCAATCATTTATATGGTTTTTCACTAAAGCATTTAAAAATACTGATTTTCTTTCTCTTCCAGAACTGATGTTTCATGCTGAAGTAGAAGAATTTCCTCAGCTGGATAAAGGCCTCACTGTCCAGTCGTAGTGCAGAAAATGCATTTTCATATACTGTAGCTGAGACTGAGGACTTAGCACTTATACGTATTATACCTGTATATAATGCTTTTCTACAAAACAAAATTTGTATTTTTGTACATTGTTTTATATATATTTGTTGCTGATGGATCTTTTATTTTAATTATGCTATTTTAAAATATTCCAAAGATTTTTGAAAATAGAACTATAAAAAATGTTATATATTTTTTTTCTGATAAAGTGAGTCTTTTCTGGGAGATAAACTCAAAACTAGTTTGGTAAACATCACTACCTAGATAGCACGGGAAGAAGACTGATGGGATACAAAAGATCAGATGGGCAAATGCTTTTGTGAGTAGCATTTTTTTTTATCCTCAGCCAGTTGCATTTCGGTGTTGATGCTAATGTCAGCTCATCTGATTAGGATGTATTACTTGGTTAAATATTTTTAAAGATCAAAACACAAGTCATCTTATGAAAAAAATAGTAGAATAAAAGTTATTTTAACAGAATATACAGTTAGAGAGAAAACTAACAGTCCTTTGGGGTGATCTGTTTTAGTTGTCATAGAAAAATGTGTAGCTGGTGTTAGGAATTAGGTAGTCTAGGGCTATATCTACAGTACAGAGTTAAATCAACGCAAGTGTCGCCGACAATCATAAACTGCAATAACAACATCGCTTGCACATGTTTACATAATGCTCCCTGCATCAGCGGAGTGCATCCACAGTTAGTTCTCTAGCATTGACAGAGAGAGCAGTGCACCATGGGTAGCTAGCCCACTGTGCAACTTGCCATCTTCTGCTGCTAGGAGTTGTGGGAATGGGGAAATAGATCAGAGTGCATCATGGTTGCAGGCTCCCTGTCCCATCATGAAGTTTTTTCTGTTTCATCATTCCATGGGTGTCCGACTATGTTTCACGCCATTTTTCAACAGCCACTGTAAACTATGCGCCCACCGTCTCCACCTGAAATCATGGATCCAGCGCTGCTCTCTAGTCTTGTCATAAGTGTTATAAACACAAGGTGGCTGATCATGCAGTATTTTATGAGCTGCAAATCTGAACAGGAATCCGTGCTGCCTGCCCTGCTGGGTGCCATGGAAAGAAACCATTCCAGATTACTTTTGGCATTCACAGAGTAGCTGCACGTGGTGGACCATCGCTATTGGGCTTGGGAAGCAAGCACCAAGTGGTGGGATCATATCATTATGCAGGTATTGGATGATGACCAGTGGCTGCAAAACTTTCGGATGCAGAAAGCCATTTTCCTGGAACTGTGTGTGGAGTTCTCCCCTGCCCTATGGCACAAGGACACCACAATGAGAGCTGCTCTCTTGGTGGAGAAGCGTGTGGCAATTGCTGTGTGAAAGCTGGCAACTCCAGACTGCTACTGGTCAGTCGCACATCAGTTTGCAGTTGGGAAGTCCACCATGGGGGTTGTGTTCACTGAGATTTGCAGGACCATTAATCACATCCTGCTACCAAGAACTGTGATACTGGGAAATATGCATGAAATAGTGAATGGCTTTGCAGCAATGGAATTCCCTAACTGGTGGAGTGATTGATGGCATGCATATCCCAATTTTGGCCCTGGGCCGTCTTGCGAGAGAGTACATCAATAGAAAAGGGTACTTCTCTATGGTATTGCAGGTGCTTGTGAATTACTGGGGTCGTTTCACTGATATCAATGCAAGGTGGTCAGGAAAGGTGCATGATCCATGCATCTTCAAGAACACTGGCCTGTACAGAAAGCTGCAAGCAGGGACTTTCTTTTGAGACAAGAAAATTCCAATGAGGGATGTTGAAATCCCTATAGTAAGCATACTCCTATTCCCATGGCTCATGAAACCTTACACAGGAAACCTGGACAGCAGCAAGGAGCGCTTCAACAATAGGCTGAGCAGGTGCAGAATGACCATTGAATGTGCATTTGGCAGATTAAAACTGCACTGGCGCTGCCTTTATGGCAGGTCAGACCTCAATGAGGAAAATATTCTCATGGTCATAGCAGCATGTTGTGCTCTGCATAATATTTGTGAAGCTAAGAGGAAGACGTTTCCCCAGGGGTAGAGGATGGAGGTGGACCCAGATACCACAGCTATTAGAGGGGCACAACAGGGGACTATTCGAATCAGGGAGTCTTTGAAACAGTATTTTTCCACAGAGCCCCCGCTGCATAGGGGAATGGGAAGCAGATTCAAAAACTGCTAATCTTGTACATTTCTATCCTTAACCCACTTCTAGCATATAATGAAACAAAGGCTCTACCTCACGTAGCCAGGCAGCATCAAATCAAAATGAGGACCAACCAGAGCTTCCCTCTCTTGCATCATGTGCACCAGAGCCGGAGTGTTGGGACTGGCTTGAACCCTTTGGGGTTGAGAAGAGGTTCTGGCTTGCCATGATACTGGATGACCCTCTCACCTGTCCCATCTCATCCTCCAACTCCACTTCCTCATCCACCACTTCATCCTTAGGGTTGAGTCTGCTGACCGCTGTCTCCAGCCCTCCAAAGTATCCACAGGGCTCTTGGCGATGGAGGTGGGGTTGCCATCGAGTATGGCGTCCAGCTCCTTATAGTGTGGCAGGTCTTCGGTGCAGCACCAGAGTGATGGTTTGACTCCCTTGCCTTCTGGTATGTCTGCCTCAACTCCTTGATCTTCACACAGCACTGAAGTGTGTCTTGTTTGTAGCCGTTCTCCAGCTTGCTATGAGAAATCTTCCCATGGGTATCAAAGTTCCTATGGCTGGAGCAGAGGTGGGACAGTACAGCCTCCTTTCCCTCGCCCCCACCCATTGCTGACCCACCACTCACCTCCTCACTGCCCCAAGTTCCCCCGTTCTGCTCACCACCTCCCCTGCCCGCCAGCCGCTCTCCTCCTCATTACCGGCCAGACCCTTTCCCCGCCCGCCACAAGACCCCCACCACCACTTGCTGTGCAGCTGACTCGCTGCTCACCTCCTCACCCTGCTGCTGCTTCCCCCCTCCCCTTTCCACCTTAAAGCACTAATAACATTCTCCAAGGGAACTGAACTGGCAACAGGTATAGCTCAATTGCCAGATAGATTCTCCTCTGCGCAGCAGCGAGTTTGCTGTATTCTGTATGGAGCAGGGGTAGGCAACGCGTGCCGAGCTGATTTTCAGTGGGACTCACACTGCCCGGGTCCTGCACCCCAGTCCCAGGGGCTCCACTGCTGGCCTGGGGTACTGGCCGCTGGACCCCTGCAAGCTGGGGTTCCATCTGCCAGCCCCGCTCAGCCTGCTGCCGGCCCTGGGTCCCGGCCACCAGTCCAGGGGGTTCTGCTGCCGACCTGGGGTCCTGGCCACTGGCCCGGGGCTCTGCAGACACTCCCAGCTGTGGCCCACTGGCCCCAGTCTGGGGCAATGAGGGGTGCAGACAGGGGCAAGAGGGGTGACAGCTCAGCACCCCCACCTTAAAAATTGTTCCAGCGCCACTGTGCTGGGATATTTTAAAGTCCGGATTTGCTGCTTACATCACTGTCATGCCAGGTGGAACAGCGCACTTCATTTGACGTTGAGATTAGAATGTACATGCAAGAACTGGAATCAGAATTTTCTGACAGATTTCAAGATTTCCAGCAATTTGGCCCAATGCTCTCTTTTCTAATTAAACCTGAAAAGTTCAATGAAAGCAGCTTGGATTTGTCTGTATTTCAGTGGATGGGTGTTGAAGATTTCGAAATGCAGATCATTCAGTTAAAAAGCTCAGAACTGTGGGCATCAAAGTTTGGAGATCTGCGGAGTGCACTTGAAGCTACCGAGAGAGATCATGGGGCCTCTATTTTGACCTGCTGGACATCCCTGCCAGTGAAATTTAACTGTTTGAAGAAAATTGTTTTTGCAATGCTTTCAGCATTTGGATCCACATACCTGTGTGAACAGGTATTTTCACACATGAAATCTGTCCTCTCTCCCTCTCGGAGCCGGTTAACAGCTGATCACTCAGAAGCCTGTGTGCAGCTTAAAGTATCCAAATACATGCCAGACACTGGAAAACTCATTAAGGAAAAGCAAAGGCAAGAATCACACTGAACTGATAAGACTGGCATTTTAATTTAATTTTAAATGACGCTTCTTAAACATTTTAAAAACCTTATTTACTTTACATACAACAATAGTTATATATTATACACTTATAGAAAGATACCTTCTAAAAACGTTAAAATGTATTACTGGCATGCAAAACCTTAAATTAGAGTGAATAAATGAAGACTCCGGCACACCACTTCTGAGATGTTGCCGACCCCAGTATAGAGAGAGACCAAAAGCCAGGCTACCCACACCAACCTGAAGCCTAATCTGCCCTTTTGAAAAAGTGTTTGTCATTGACAGCCTGCATTAAGGCAGTAGTTTAATCACCTTCATTACACAGAATTCCCTGCCAGACTCATTTACTTAAACTGGGTTTGAATAAAATGACTTTATCGAGAAGTAAACTCACTGGCTATTTCAGGTCCTCCTTGTGCTAGGTTAACAGTTACTACTTCTGGGTACAGAGAATAACTGAAAGGTCATCATTTGGAAACTGTTTTTGACCCCAATAACACAAGGGGTTATATTGTAGGAAAGGCTTCCTGGGCATTGGCAAATGCCTGTTTAAATGGCTTCATGACCACTTTAATGGCTCTTTAACAGTTGCAGTGATCTCTGCTACTCGGTCTCTGGAAGGCTTTTTCACTGTGTAAAGTTACTCAGGGCTCCAGCAGCTGCAGGGACCTCCAAGTGGGGAAGGGGATGGGGTGGAGGAGAGGAGGAAGATTCACCCCAGGCAGCAGCAGCAAGCCGTGGGAGCCTCGGGGAAGGGTCAAAGCAGGGAGGCGGGGGTTTGGGGGCACCACAGCCAAGGTGTTGGGTGGCAGGGACGGCTGTGCTAGGAGAGGCAATGCCTCCCCTTGCCTATTGTACCTGTCACCCATGACACTGACACTGTGTTGATCTAATTTTGCCTCAGAAAACTCTATGCCTCTCATTCAGGTGGTTTTATTTTGTTGGTGTAGCAGGAGAGTTAAATCGGTGGGAGAGCATTGCAGTTTGTACACCTCCATCATTTGTCAATGAAAGCTGACTTTTGTCGACAAAACTATGTAGTGTAGACAAGGCCTGAGCATTGTTTGAAAAGGGGGTGGGTGATACACTTTAGAGATGTGAATAATTTTTTTCAGTTAGTTTTCTGACAGAATATGTAATATGCCGATGTCAAGATGGAGTAAATATATAAAACGAGAAATCTTACAATAAGAAGG